ACGAGTTGTGGTGTGAAATTGGGGGGATTATTCTCGGGAGGATAGTACACACCCAGCGAGAGAGAGAGAGAGAGAGAGAGAGAGAGAAAGAGAGAGAAAGAGGGAGAGCGAGAGAAAAACTCTAGAAAGAAGGCATAAATACGCAAAAACTACTCTGTCCTCGAATCCATAACCAAACTACCGAGATAGATGATAGATCAGAGAGTAAAATTGCAAAGAAAATATCCTGGCTTCGAAAATCGGTTCTATGGCATTATCGAGGGGACAAATTTTTTATGTAGAAGTGGTCAAATAAAATGCTTAACCGAATTGGAAGCGTTTTAGTGTGTTAAGAAAGGCAAACTGTACTTAAACGAGAAGAACTAGCCAAAAACTTTCGAAAAATTTATCAAAAAGGTGGAGTTTTGGTAAAGAAACGGCCATTTTTGGTCGATAAATCGATTTGCATTAATATTTTTGTTTCTTTGTATTTTTTACTAAAAATTTGTTTACTAGATTTATTTAAAATGTTTTATTAAAGTTTTTACGCTTAGGAATAGTAAAAAAAGTTACAAAGCTTTTCGCTCTTTGATTTGAGAAACTGGATCCTAAGAAAAATTTGGTGTTGAAAATTTCATGGAAAACACCGATTGTAAGGCCTATAAGATGTTTGTGGTTAAAATACATCAAAATTTTGACGAAACATAATTTTTTTACGAGATTGACGGCCGGCAAAATGCCCACAGCCATAATTGTCGGGATTTTTGCATTTTACGTGTAGTGGGTACTGTGCAAGTGGGTATTGCGCCATAAATAGACAAGTCAGAATCGTAAAATCTCAAAACACATTTTTTTTCCAGAAAACGCCTTTTCAGGGTTTGCGTTACTTGTTAGTAGTAGTTGTTCGTACTGGTGGCGAGGGTGGGAGGGAGGGGAACAAGCCCCGTTTCCGGGGCTGTCTGTCTGTCGCTCTGTTAGTGTGTGTGTCCCAATATGCCCTGAGGGTATGTGCTGCTATGCGATTTAGAGAGAGGCACACACGTTACCAGGCAACCATTTCCCCCATAGAAAGACACCAGCCAACAATCCGATTTCCATAAATTTCGTAAGGGGGGCGTGAAAATTAGCATAAAATGGAAGACGCGATGAGATTTCTGTCGGCTCGTCTTTAAAGGCGCGAAGAAGTCAAAATTGTTGATGAAGGTTGAGAAAAATTAATGTTTCGGAATCGGGTCTATTTTGGAAAAAACTAAATAGATAATCTAGACTCTTGATAGCGCGGAAAAAATCGATCGTAATACTAAACGGTATCTATTATGGTTCCATAGAAATTATTTAAGTACGTAATCAACTATAATAAAAAGGCAGGGGTGTCTGTCCGTCTGTCATGTCCCGGATTCAACTCGAAGGGGAAAGGAGCTAGAGCTTAGCTCTCTTCGGATTCGGATAGAGCGCCATCAGAAACCCCCAAACTGATAAAAAAATTACGAAAAAGTTTTTGTTTAAATTATTAAAATTAACTTTGAAAGTTTTTTCCTTAGCAAAAGGGGTGGGAGACGGAGGTTGGCATGATTCTAAAACCATCAGGGAGGTATCTAAGTAGTTTTTGAAGGGGATTTCGTCTATGGGGGGTATATAAAACCATCAGGGAGGTATCTAAGTAGTTTTTGAAGGGGATTTCGGCTATGGGGGGTATCTAAAGCCATCAGGGAGGTATCTAAGTAGTTTTTGAAGGGGATTTCGGCTATCGGGGGGTATCTGAAGCCGTCACGGAGGTATTTAAGTGGTTTTAAGTAGTTTTTCAAGGAGTAGCTAATTTTGTGCAGGGGTGGCTATAGGGGTGTCTGAAGCGATTGGTGAGGGTATTGGTGAAGATAGAGATGTAATGTGGTGGCGTAGAGCATGGAGGGTAGCCCGAAGGCCAGCCGATTACAGTCGCGAAGCGGCTGTAATCGGCTGGTTTGTCAATAATTATTAATTAAACAACTACCATTTAAATAACCGGTTTAGTTACTTGTTTATTTATCCAAATGGATTTTATTAGGATTACATAGAAGTTCATAAATGTGGAAGTTTTGTCAGCGTCACCTTTGGTTACCCTCGACAAATTGCATTGAAAAAATTCGACACAATGGCAAGTTTTCATGAAACTTATTTTTTCTTGATGATGATATGGAACCACTATGAAACAGCTAAAAAATAAAAATTTGAATGTTTTGGAATCCGCCTAGTTTGGAAAAGGAAATTGATAACGTTTAAGATTCCCGACAGAAAAATAGCGGCCACCATATGAATCACCTTAAATAATTCCATACGATGTAAATAGCAAATAATGTGCGTCGGGGGCAATTCGCCGCAAAAGCTATATTATGCTAAAGCGATGATTCTCAGGATCCCCACCATCAATTTCTTTCATTAAACCACTTAAAATATTGGAAATAGCCGAAATGCGATCAATAATTCAAACGAAATCGCAAAAATTCCAGTCGCCAAGCGAGATATTTGCAAAAACCCGAAAAACGAAACACACCAGTTTACGGTCATACGGAATTACGGAAGATTCGTATTTTCACCCGGACCTATACACGGGGAGGAACTATACACGAGGTTTTAGGGTAATAATTGAGGAAGCTTTGTCAGCATCGTCTTTTGGCGATTATCACTGCCGTGAATTGCAGTGGAAAAATTCGACGCATCATCAAATTTTCATGAAACTTATATTTTCTTGATGATATGGAACCACTTTAAAGGGTCTAGGCAGCCAGCAACCGAATGTTTCGGAATAGGGCATATTTTGAAAAACGATATAGATACTACCTAAAGTACCGCCAAAAAGGGGGTTACCAAAGGAACCTTAAATACCTTAAACGAACCTTAAATGACCTTAAATAATTGCATGCCATGTAAGTAACCCGTTTATTTTTTATTTATCTACTTATTTTATTAACATTACACCAGGGTTGAAAAGCCGCTTCGCGACTTTTCAACCCTGGCCCCCTCTGATCCCATCATTTCCTGCACTTTGCATAATTCTCGCGATTTTTGATGACAAAAAATGAGAAACGCTACCTCTCTTCCCTTACATAGGCAACCGCCACTTCCGGCGGATGCTAATTGTTTCCTAACAAAGAGGGTCCTGGATTTTTCAACAAAACCCTAATTTTAACGTCGAAAACAGCTAATTTTTGAAAATTTTGTTAGTGTGCAGTCACCCCAAGACCATTACGCACCTAATGACGCATCAAAACTTACCCGTAACTACTCCCCTTATTGAGATACTGCTGGAACACGCTGACGGAAGTTGTATGCAAAGTGGCACACACACACACACAAACACACAGACACTATTTTTTTATATATATAGTAGGATAGAAATTCGTAATTGGGGAAGTTTCGCCAGCATCATTTTTAAATGGATTAGCAACCCGACCAATTGCTCTGAAAAAATTCAGACACAAGGTCAAATTTCCGTGAAACTTCTAATTTTTGGACGGCGACGAAACCACTGAAACTCTAAAGTGTTTGTGAAAAACGAAAGGTATCCTGCCGAAAGCACCGACAAATTCTTCTGCGGCCAAGACGGGCAAAATACTTGAAATATAAGAAAAAATTTTCCGGAAAATCGACTTTTTTTGTATCGTAATGCCCTGTAATGAGCCGCATTTCTTGACCTTGGAGATTGCTGGGCGATTTTTAAAAACTGCAAAAGCGAAAGCTATTAGAATTTCCTGAAGGTTCCAGAAATGGCAGCAGAATTTTTGTTAATTCACGAATTTTCGTGTCGGAACGGAAAACAGGCGCATGCGGCGCGGTCGCGTTGCGGCGGCATTCTTGCCAGGAAGGACGCTGTTAGGCGTGGACCAGAGTTCTGTGCCCCTTTAATAACCTAACGGCAAATGCAGGGTATCAAGTTAAAGTTCTGAAATCGACTTAATCAGTGGATTTTACTATGGAAACCCGTTAGAAGCTGAATAATCCATTCCAGCTGCCTCCAAGATACCATCTACAGCAATGAAACATACCATTAGAATCTGAAAATATCCGTAACGCTTACTAAAAAGCACATGATCACTACAGTCACTTTTTCCGGCCTGAAAATGGGGTAAAAATGTCAATATTTCAAGTTCTATATGTCACCACCAATTTGAAAACCTGACGATGTTCAGCATCATCGCGTTTTTGTGTTTTTGTAACGTTGAGGTAATTTTTTTCGGGCAGCGATTTTCGTAATAGTTTCGGTAATTATTATTTTTCAACTTATTTTTAGCACCTAAAGCTTATATTTTTATCTGCCCTCCATTTATTTTTTTGAATAGTGCCCGGAGGGGTCAACCATCTGAGAAGACCCGATAACAGCCCTCTGATTCCTCGGGGGCAAACATGTTTATTATAGGCCCCGCTTAGACCCCCCCTACAATTCCCACAATTTCCTGCCTCCTCTTTTAGTCATTCGTAAACAGCTGTCTGTCGCGGCATTTTCCGAAGCAATTTTCCTACCTTCAGATACCTATAAAAGCTGTTTTGTATGCCTTTAAGAGGGCCTGACTTAAAAGACGAAATCTAGGTTACGCACCCGATTTTTTTCAAGACAATTTCGACACTGATATTGCGTTAAAAAATCGGCGACGCCGCAAATGATCTAGAAAATAATCGCAAATGATCTTTCGCTTTCTCATTCTCTCTCGCTCTCTCGCTCTCTCTCACACACTCCCTCGCTCTCTCACTGACTCTCACTCTCTCTCACTCACTCTCTTAATCACTCTCACTCTCTCTAACTCTCTCTCACTCACTCTCTCTCACCGCCTCTCACTCTCTCTCTCTCTTTCACTGACTATCACTCTCTCCCTCTCACTCACGCTCTCGTTCTCGCGCTCACTCTCTCACTCGCTCCTTCTCACTGTCTCTCACTCTCCCTATCTCTCTCCATTTCACTCTCAGCATCTCTCTGTCTCTCGGGTTCTCTGGCTTCTATTTTTTGGACGTCTTTCTATGTTTTAGAATTTTAGAAATTACTTTTCGAAATGTTGCGACCCGTGTTGACTATATTTTTGTTGTTTCTCCGAATTGACGCACTCGAGAACGGATTGGCCAGGTGGGACCTCCGCCAATGATGGTAAAACTCAGATCCGTAAAATTATTGATATGAAGTCTTGATGAAACATCAAAAAAATTAACCGGTCCTCACCCATTAACGGTAGTTGGGACGGATCGAACTTCTTTGTAAAAGTCTATGAATAAAATTCAAAGCAAAAAGCCATTCCAGGACCCCTCCGATGGGGTGGATGTCGTGGGCGGCGTTTTTCTGCGAGGTCGACTGCCAGAAACATCCACATGACTGCATTAATGAGAGGCTATACGTGACGCAGGCTGATCAGATAGGTAGCGGCTTCAAATCCAAATCCGCGTGCAAAAATGTTTCAAAAAAATAGGAGTTAAAGCCATCGAGATTCTCCATAATTCATTGTTTTTCGCTGCCAAATTCGGTGCTAATGCAGTTGGGGGGCAGTCCAAAATTGGTGGCAAGGGGTTACGAGGCGCTTCGCTTAAGCCTGGGCTCAACTTAGCTTTAACTAGGCCTGGCTTAGCTTGAGCTTTAAATTGACTTACGAGGTCAAAATGGGGTCATTTATAGGTTAGCTTAGAACTAAGCTTAGCTTGGCTTGGCTCAGGCTTCGTTTGCATGGAGCTGAGCTTAGCTTTAGTCTTAGCTTAGCTTTTCCAGAGGCTTCGAGTTTAAAAAACGGCATTTGGGGCGTCTCGTAGTTAAAATCCAGACTACCCCCCCAAGTGCATTAGCACCCCAAATTCGATCGGCTTTTTTGCTTTCGATCGTTTCTTTTCGCTTTGGTAGTGTTAAATTTTCATAAAAACGCTGTTAAAGGCTTCCCATGAACAAAAGACCTTTTAGTTAGCGATGGCTTTCGCGAGGCGGGCTACACGTCAATCCATATTGACGACTGCTGGATGGAGATGCAGCGGACGGCGCTAGGTATTTTAATGTCTTTTTGAAATTGAAATCTGACTGTTTAAATTAAAATAATGCACACTACTGTAGTTTCAAAATAGAGAAAGTCTACCGTGAAAATGTTTCATGGTTGAAGTGTTAATAAAAAAGTATCACAAAAATTAGTGAAGGTCTTTAATGATGGCTGATAAAATTAGTTGGAAACTTTTCTCTTCTAACTCTCTTAAAGGGCACGTTCAGGGACGTTTTTTTTGGAAAAAAGCAAATGCTTTTGCCGCGGCCGGGGGTCGAACCCGGTCCCACCGCTCGGGAGGCGCGGATGGATACCAGTCAGCCACAGCTACAACCTGGCAGGGGGGCGAGGGCGCCCCACGCCGCAAAGGAGGGGAATGGCCTGTCACAGCACGGGCAGGCCGTGCGCGCGGTCCCTACGTCCATAGCGTGTACACGTTGGGACGAGTACACGGCCCCTGCCTGAACGTGCGCTTTAAAGGGGCAAAGAAGCCTGAGCCACCCCCCCCAGCGTAGATTCCTGGCAAATAGCCAGATCGGAACACAATGCGACCGCGCCGCAAATTTTCTGGACCTGTGTTGGCGGGAAAATGCATGATGTTTCAGGTTCTAACACTGTTTCAGGAATTCTCTGCCTATTTAATACATTGTACTTTCTGTCTTTTTTAAGCCTTGAAACCTACAGAAAGCAATGAAATGTTTCATCAGACTAAGTATACAAGAAAGTAGCGCAAAAATCAATCGAATGCAAATCGAACGTGGATTTCGACATTCTGAAATTTCGACAATAATTTCGGCACGTTCAAAGTTTGAACGAAAAAGCGGAATACGACGTGTAATCTCCGCACTCCCAAAGGCTGTATTTTCCCCCAAATAATTTACATCTTGGCAACGGAACTGATTTTCTGGCGCCTCCAATGCAGTACCCGTTTGTGTTTTTTATAATGAGAATTTTAAATTTTAAATACTTTGTAAAAAGCGGACAAATTCGTGATAATGTTTCATCAAGCAAAGTTTACATAAAAGTATTGCCAAAATTAATTGGCATTTACATACATATAGTTTGAACATACCTTGAAATTTTCGCTTCCAAGACCCTTTAAGAAGATTGCCCACCATAATGTCCAAATTTCGGAATATCGAAAAATATTACGAAATCTCCCCCTTAAGACCGCCTGGCCGCCAACAGGTCCCGTTTCCCCAGCGGCATCAAGAATTTAGCGAAAATGGTGGGTTTACTTCGTTTGTGTAAACTAATTGATTGCATTTAATTTTTCTTAGAAGTCTATTAAAATGAATAGTTATTTTAGTTTTAAGAAACAACTAGCTTAATTACCAATCAATAATTGCCAGCGTTTTTAGATGCACCAGCGCGGACTGAAGCTCGGTATTTACGAGGATTACGGTACACTGACGTGTGCCGGGTATCCGGGCAGTAAGGGATACGTCGAGGTGGGAAAAATAATATACCTTTTTCATTATCGGGGGGGGGGGGGGGTATCAGCGGATCCCGCGGCTTTTTTTAGTATCCAACTTTTTTAAAGTGTTTCAAAACTGTTATTTCTTTTTCCTAAAATAAAAATCTTAATTTTGCGTTAAAAACCCCAAAAAAAATGATTTTCGACAAAAATTGCGAATTTTTCCAATGTTTCAAAGTTTTTTAGATAGTTTTTTTCACTTCAAGGATAGATAAATAATACTAAAAAGGCTATCAAAATATCGTTATGGCGCGTTTCTAGGCATTTCTGAATTTATACGAAAAGCTTCGGCAAAAAAATCTGATTTTCAGATCGACGCGGAGACATTTTCCGATTGGGATGTGGACTACTTGAAATTTGACGGGTGTTACTGTAATATGTCCGAGGTGGCGGCTGGTATGTAAAATATAAAAAAGAAGAATTGGCTTAAGTGCAGTTTACCCCCCCCTCAGCCGGCATCCACCTACCGTATCTCGGCTACCTGTTCATCTACAGGTGTGTAAAGTATACCAAAATACTCGCCAGGGCAAGACGAACATTTTGGTATACTTTACACACCTGCAGATGAACAGGAAATCGAGATACAAAAGTTGGGTGCCGGCGGGGGGGGGCTGCACTATAACCAATAAATTATCAATTTTGTTTCCAGGGTTCCGAAAATCGCTTTGAAAAAAGAATGTTTTAACTAGGATCAATGGCAATTGGAAGATCTGATTTTTCAATACTATCTTTTTTGGGTTGCCAGTGTTAGCATTTTTTAGCATCCCATTTTCCTATCCTATAAGCGAGAAAAGTATGTGTGTTTTCTGTCCAGGCGGTTTCTCGGCCGTAAGGCCGAATTTCCGTCTGATTTTTGGCATGGAGGTGGAGAAACACATTCGCCAAAAACGGTTTTTTGGATTTTTCTAAACTCCTTAATTTAACGATTTTACAAGCGAAAATGCAAAAATTCTTAACAAATTGGGTTACGAGCCGCGTTGTACAGGTCATAACTCGAAGCCCTGATGGGATTCCGGGCTGTAATTTGCACCACTTATGTATTCGATAGTGGGGATCATGCGCATCTTATTACCTTGACCAATTTTCTGCGTATTTAGACTAAAAAAATGGAATTCTGTAGTGACCATAAGGCCTTCCTTCTGGGATCATTGTGCCGCCCTTTTCTTTGCCCCTCTCTTGGCCCCAGGACAGAAGAGAGCTTTCCCGCCTTCCGATCCCAGGTGCTCCGTGGTGTAGTGGGTTAGCGCCAGGGCTACGACGGGCAAGGTCGTGAGTTCAGATCCTGCGCGAACTTAGCTTTTTGCTTTTTGGTAGTTCCGCAACAAAACAAATTTCTAGGCCGTCGGTGTGCGAGGTTTAGGCCAGGCCCTCGCTTTAGCGCCGCAGTCCAAAGAAAAAGTCCTTGGCCCAGGTTCTCGCGCCGCAGGCCCAGGATGGGTCCTGGACCCGGGCTCTAGCGCCGCAGGCCAGATCCAGGAGGAAACCCAGTAACTAGCGCCGCAGGCTCAAAGATTCTAGCGCAACGCTGGCTCTAGCGCCGCAGGCCATGGATGGTTCCTTGACCCAGGTTCTAGCGCCGCAGGCTAAAAACAGAAGGTATTCGAATTCGTGGTTCCCGAACGAGGTCCAGTGGAAAATGGCCGCGAAGCGGTCTTTTTCCACTGGTTGTATTATAAATAGGCAATTTGTATATTGAATTGGTAGTTAAATATAAACAGCGGAAGTGTTTTTTTTGTTCTAAACTCTTTTTTACTATTCCTAAAATTAAAACTTTACTAATTTTATTAAAAACCAAAAATATCGATTTTTCGACCAAGAATTTGCGCAAATTTCGATTTTTAGAAAGTTTTTAGACTGTTTTTCTTGACGAAATATAGTTATATTTAGTGCAATCACTAATAAAATTCTTCCTATTCAGTTACGAGATATTTCTAAAAAACCCAACAAAAATATTCCCCCCCCGTTAATGCGAAAGAACCAATTGTGGATATTAACGTTGCTTAGAAACGCAGAGGGTAGTAGCAGAAAATTTCCTACTGTAATTGATATAATACAGTACGATAATGCGATAAATACAACCAATTTTATAAACTCAATAAAAAATTTTTATCCATCAAAAAAGAATGTTTTGACCCGGGTGCATGGTAACTGGAAAATACAGATTCTAATGAAGTCCAAAGCAAGCCTCGGTTCATTTATTTTTATACTGTCGATTTCAAACAGATTTTTTATATATTTGAAATTACAGATCTTATGATATTAGCTATATTGAAAAACGGCAGATAATTTAATTAATTAAATTCGGTACATTCCAGGCTTCAAATCGATGCGATACGCGCTCGAAAAGGTGCAGCAGAAGATGATCTACTCGTGTGAGTGGCCGCTCTACCTCAAGCAGGCACCCGAAATGGTCGGTTCTCTAGTCGCAGGAAGGTTTTTGAAAAAATCTGTTGCAAAAAATTAGATATTCAAGAATCCCTGCAACCCGGTAATCGCTCTGATCTGGGCTCTTAATTGCTAAAAAAATGCTTGTTTTCCCACATTAATATGTTTCGCTTCGATATTGGGGCGATTGTACTGATTATCAGCATATCGACCAGTAAGCGTTTTCGTTGGCCTGTTACTTTAGGTAATTTATGAAACACTCAAATTATTTCTGAAAAAAACCTAAAAATAACATTAAAAAAACCACTAGGACCGTACCCAAACGTCCTACTGGTTTTTTAATGTTATTTTTGGGCGACGAAATAACGACAATCTGGAGCACCGACCTCCAAGACGCGGAATCTCAAGATGTCGAAATCCAAAATACCGATATCCCTAATACCGAGTGCCGAGCCGCATTACGCTATTTGAAACTTTCGGTATTTGAAATACTGTTTTGGCTTTCGGTATTCTTGATTTCGATATTTTGAATTTCGGTATTTTGGTTTTCGCCATTTTCGCTTTCGATTTTTTAAATTCGGTATTTTGAATTTCATTACTCCGAATTTTGGTATTTTAGCTTTCGGTATATTGGATTTCAGTGTTTTGGCTTTCGGTATTTTGGCTCATTTGTTATAGAATTCGAGCTTTTAAATGTCGATATTTTAGATTTCGGCATTTTGATTTCAGGATTCTCGCTTTCGGTATTCTAGCTTTATGTAGATATTTTGCTTTTCATCGTTATCGATTTCGATATTTTGGATCACGGCCGTTGCAATTTCGGCTTTTATATGTAGCTTTTTAAAGATTCCGTGTTTCGATTGTCGTTTTTATTAAATTCGGCTTAATCAAAACAACCTATCTGACATTGTCTAAACCGTCCAAATCAAAACCAAAAAATGTTTATGAACAAATGTTTCATATGAGTCACTGTTTTCATGTGAATTTCGAAGTAATGGTTCCTCGATGTGCCCTTCGAGCTGGTGATAGATCAGAGTCGTTTAAAATCCGAAAAATTTCCAGATTCACTACGACGAGATCGCTGAGAACTGTAATTTGTGGCGGAATTTCGACGACGTCTATTCGAATTGGGGCTCAATCCTGTCGATCATCGATTTCCAAGCCGAAAATCAGGACGAAATTGCGAAAGTGCAAAAGCCGGGCGCGTGGAATGATCCGGATATGGTAAGTGGCACACCGTGAGCAACTTTAACCTTTTAATATACCAGAATTTTTTCTTTTTTGGAATTTTAGGGAAATCATTCGGTAGGGCGTTGAAAAAACATACGAACTGTTCTAATTTCAGCCGAAAAAATGAAAAATAAAATCATTATGGCAAAAACAAGTCAGAAAAAAATTATTCGAAGTTTTCGCTTTATTTAATAGAGTATCGAAATCCATACTAACTGTTATAATAGCAGCTGAAAATATTTTCATATAAAAAAGTTATGGCGAAAACAAGAATAATCTTTGGAGACAAGGTTGAAAAGCTATTTTTCGACGTTTTCTCTACTTTTCGGTATTTTCGAGACTTCATTCAATACAGCATCAAAAAAACTTCAAACGAGTTTCAATTTCAGCTCAAAATAGTGTAAAAATAAAATAAAATTGTTATGGTCAAAACATGTCAGAATCGCAAAAATGTGTTAATCAATAATTTAATTCTTTAATTTTTAATATATTTTATTTAATGGTGGTAATCTTGAAAAATTTGAGACTCGTCCACGGCGTTGGAAGTTCGTTACAAGAGGAGCGAGCCAGCTATGAATTAGAGCAGTTGGCTCGGAAAAAAACGTTGTCGAAATTTGAAACATTATTTTGTGGCTAACGATAAGCGCCAAATCCTACTATATATAAAAAAATAGTTTCTGTGTGTGTGTGGACACTTTGCATAAAAACCCGGGTTCCAGCCATAACTCGAAGGGAAGAGGCTTTTATGGTTCAGGAGTAAGGAGGTTAGGGGTAATCGAGGGCGTAGATTACTGCGCGCTTAGCAGATTTTTACTAAAATAACGTTTTTTACCTTATTTTAGCGATTTAAAAACATATGGAAATAGATTTGAATACGAGGATTAATTCGGCTCATTCTGGGTTTTGCTGGGTTCCGAGTCGGTTGCTCAAGTAATTCCTGTGGTGTGCCTATCCCTAACGTAATTCGTAAATTTAATGCAAATTAAGTGCCCGTGTAACAAAGGACCCCGAAGAGAGGCCAGGGTTGAAAAGTCGCGAAGCGGCTTTTCAACCCTGGTCTGTCTGAAATTGATCAATGTAGCCAAATTAATTTTTCAGCTCGTGATCGGCAACGGCAATTTGACGGTGGAGCAATGTCGATCCCAGATGAGCATCTGGTGTATTTGGAGTGCCCCGTTAATTATGTGAGTTTCAAAAAAAGCTTGGAAAGGTTAGTCTCGGTTTTTCATTAATATACCTGCATATAAACTGCAAAAATTTTTACTGATTACGTCCCTAATTTAGTTTCATTATTTTTTTAATTTTTGGTTTAAATAACGCAATGTTTAAATTATTTTTATGTTTAAATTATTTTCTTTGTTTCAAAATTATTTATATTTAGTTAAGCAAAGTATAAAAAGCGCTAAGTTATAATCGGCGCGATTTTTTTAGGTCGACAGATCTACGAATCCTGGAACCGGAATACCGCGAAATACTTTTGAATAAGAAGGCGATCGCCGTCGATCAGGATCCGATGGGAAAATTCGGCAAGCGGGTCTATAAGGTGGGGGTCATATTTATTATTATTTCTAAAATACATATTTTTGCTAAAAAATACAGTCTTCAAGCAAGCGAAAAATTAAGGAAAAGCCAGGCCCTGAAAGGACGCAAAAATTTACAATTTAGTCAGCTACATCGAAGGGACTATTATTCTTGATTTTTTCCCTAGCAACAGCTAATTATACAAAACATTTTTTCACAAAAAACGTTTAAGAAGTAATAATTTATAAATTATAATTTTTGAATTATATATATTTATAAATTATAAATTACTAAGTTAATTTAAGAATTGAAAAAATTCAAAATCTGACGCTATTTATGGATTTCTCAGGCGATTTTAATCATTTCCGTTTTTTCAATTTTCAAAATTGGCGCAGGAATCGCCAAAATCTAGCATCCAAAATTGAGCGCCTTACAGGGTATTACGACATGTAATTCACGCGACTCAAAAAAAGTAGATTTTCCCAAAAACATTGCGTTTTCTCACAAATATTTTGAGCTTTTTGAGCTTTCTTTACGCTCTGCTTTTTGGAAGTACGTTCTCACTTTACGGAAACCAACAATTCCCAAATCAGCAACCCATCCAATAGCAAAAATTGGCAAAACACATTTTTTAAAAAAGCATTGTTGTAAATTAAGAATTTCCTCTACTATCCTTGTTATTTTTTGGAAAAAACATATCTTTTTTACGTAGCTGGAAATGGGCATAAAAATAGTAGGTCAATAAATCTTAGTTAAATGGAAATTTTGAGAAGGCAATTGTTTAAAATCTATTAAAATTTTAATTTCATTTTGTGTAAAAAAGTAATTCTAAAGTAATTAAAAAGTAACTTGCTTAATTAAGCTAATCATACATATTTAGGAGGGAGATTTGAACATCTTCTCGAAACCGATCCAGCCGACTGAGGGCGAGAAGACATCATTGGCAATCGCATTACTAAATCGAAATCCCGATTCCCCGATTGTATGTTTCAATTTCTAGTTTGGGCAAATTCGAAAAGAATTCTTAATTGGTGCTTCATCCCTTTAAATTCAAAATTCCGGTACTGGAGTGTTAGCGGGGGGGAGATTTTAGCGGGGGACTAATTTTCCGCGGGTTCCTTTCAGAATGTCGAGAATCATAATGTCGAAATTTCGTAAAACCAAAATTCACAACGTCGAAATTTACATAAGCTAATTTTCTCGGAAAACCCCGTATACTATGCAAAAAAATTCGACATTGCGCATTTCGACATTACGATTTTCGACACAAACCCCAAAAAAAATGTAAAAAGTTTCGAAAATTAACCAAATTTTGGTCAAAAATGGTTAAAAATGCCCACGCAAGGCCAATTTTCCGATTTTTAAAAACTTTTTCAAATATTTTTATACATTTCTAGCAATCTAACACGACCAAAAAGGCTCTCAAAACATTATTAAATGTGTTAAAATTAAGCGTAGGCAAGAAAATGAAAATTAACCCCTTCCCCGCTAACAACACAGTACCAAAAGCCCTTCAGGACCACACGTTCACTCTATCTTCATTGGGCCTGCACGAGCCGGTGAAGCTCATCGAAATTTGGAGCAACACCGAGTTCGGCAAGGTCAACCCGGACGCGTCGATTAAGGTAAGCAATCCACAACGGAGTATAGTACCATTAAAATAAGTAATTCGCGAACAGATTCATACTTTGGTGAAACATTTTTTGGCTCTTCTCTTGAAGAACAAAAATTTAATTCATTAAATAATTATTTAAGCCTGTATCCTGCCTGTTAATATGGTTAAATAAGGTATTATTATTGTGAGATCGAGAAATAGGAAACCGCCCCCCCCCGATATTGCCAAAGCACCGCGCAACACCTTCCCCGCAGTGATTTAATCAAATATTGGAATTATTTGCATCAAATTTTACGGAGTAAAGAAGCCGAAAATTATCGACATGCCACGAGACGTTGTTCTGAAAATGTCCTGTTTTCCGGCCCTGACACAGACGAATTCTGAAACATTTTTCGATCATCTACTCCGTCTCGACTAAAAAATAATAAAAAGGTTGTATTATGCATCAAAATAATAGATAATGCAATACCAAAAATAAGGTTTAAAACATCAAATAAATAAAAACTTATAATCTACCTCTTAAAAAAACACAGCAAAGATTTTATCTATTTTCGAGTTAATGAGTTCATGGAGGTTCTAAACAAGATTGTTCATATCAACATTCAATGGAAAAGACTTTTTGTTAAAACATTGAAATTCAGATTTAAGCAAAATAAACGACAAAACAACTAGGCAAATAAAAAAAATCATTGAGAACAAAGGCAAATAAAAATTTCAGGTGACAATCCACCCGAGCGACACCCTCTTCTTCACTGCTAAATTACTATCGGGTCAATGAAAAAATCTTTTTAATTTCTAATATAATATGTGTTTTTCTTAATTTTGTTGGCCAAAAAATTAATAAAGGTAAAAACGCCATTTTTGAGACGGAAAAGCGTACTAGAGAAAAAAAATATATATTTCATGTTTCAGCCAAGTCCGCAATTGTTGAAATGAACCAATCGACGCTTCCTGGAATTACGAGGCATTGTAAAATTCAGAAGAATTGGGTTCTTTCCCATTATCGGGGGGGGGGGGGGAGGACCAAACTTTTCCAGGATTCATATTTTTAAATACAATTACATTTTAATTTCAATAAATTTTATATATAATTTTTTTAATAAAAATTCTTGTTATTCCTAAACCTAAAACTTTACAAATTTGATTTTTAAAAAATACCAAAATATCGATTTATCGCCCAAAATTCCGACTTTTCGAACATTTTCTAAGTTTTTAGATATTTTCGATTTGAAAAATAGTTATATTTTACGAAAAAACACTAATAAAATACTTCCTATTACGTTACCAGGCATTTCTGGGCTTATAACAAAACTTTTGCCCCTCCCCCCCCCCCCGATAATGCGCAAGAACCAAAAATTAACAAAGATTGTGATATGCTAATTTACCGCGGTCGAAGCTTCAAAAATGGGCAGTCAGGGAATAGTCCAATCCAAATAGTGATCAATCCAAAAGGCCTTGCGCATTATTCAGCGACAAAATTTTTGGTAATCTTATAGAAATGAAACACATTTTTTCAAGCCCTTGATTTTATTAGCTGAAAAGGTTTTCATAATAATAGTAATTAATAATGATAAGATTCAATAAAATAGTAGTGATAATATACAAAAACCTGTTTATGAATAAATTTTACTTACGATTCCCAAAAGATCACTGCTAGGTTGCGGTCCGGCGAAACAAAAGTGTAGTTCACATTTTGTTCCCGCAGCACTTTATCAAAGCGGTTCTCTCTCTCTTTCTCTCTCTCTCTCACTCTCTCTCCTTCTCTCTCTCTCGCCCTCTCGCTCTCCGCGTTCCAAATAGGATGATATCCCCCGGAACAGGAAAACAGCCTCGTCATTTACCCGTCCCAAATTGATTGATTTTTTCCAATCGTTACCTTCCGATATTACTACAGCTTATATCTTTGTTCTATTTCTATTATGCAAAACGGATATCAACTCCCGAAATCCAAGCAAAAAACGAGCAATAATGGATCGACAGCGGCCAGCCATGAATTATCTGATGAAGAGCTGAAACGACATCTGGAGGAGAACAGGTACACCACTATATGCGACTGAATATTACTTCGCTTCACCATACCCTATTTTTTAAAATAGATGAAACATAAATTTTTGCAAAACGGTCTTCCAGGTTATCGGGGGGCGGTTGCGAGCTTTTTTTTCTATAATAATATCGTGCTGGTCGACTAATTGAAAGCTGACCGTTTTAATAGACTTGTGGGTAAAGGTTGCTTAACGGGGGGAGGGGACAAATAACGGGGGCGGAAACCATTTTTCTCAATTTCAGCCCGAAATAATGTAATTTAAATTAGTTATTAAAAACAAAACCTTCGGCTGGGCATGAGTATAACCATAATGTGATCATCATTTTCGGCGTTTTGCGCTTTTTCGCCGGGATTTCATTAGTGCCATCGGATAGAGCGTCAAAAATTATACTAGGAGATTTAATTTCAGCCCGAAATACCACAATTTAAAATTATTACTTTCTAAGCTAAAAATTTTGAATAATTAAAAATTGTTAAAAATAGGTTTTTTGGACTGAAATTAAACCTCTTACGCTAATTTTTGACGTTATATCCGATGGCGTTTTCAAAATCACAAGATATTTTTGATAAATACAAAAGTTCTTTCCACCCCCGTTATTGGTCCCCCCCCCCCCCCGTTAAGCAACCTTTACCGACTTGTGCGCCATTTGAAGTGAAGCTGGGCTGTTAGCGGGGGTGGAGAAATTAAGAAACACGTCATAAAACGATGAAAATTTGTGCTTTTTCGGGCTAACGTGTACGAAAATGGTGAAAAACGCGCTATACCCCCCAAGATTTCGTGACTGAAGGATAAATGTTGTTATAATTTTTGATTTTCGGAAACTACTAAAAACTATTAAAATATACTACAATTTATCACTAGGAAACCTGGAAGCACCAGTTTTTTAATTAAAAAATGTTTTAATTTTGGTTGTTTCGCTTAACATCTCTCCGCTTTTACATTTTTTCTTAGGATCCATCTTTGAAACATAAATAATAGAAGTGTTTCAATAATGTTTTTACTAATCTCAAGCCCAATAAAACCTTAAAAAATGTACTAAAAATATGAAAAAAATCGTTTTTCGACCAAAAATGACAGTTTTTAACCAAAAATTCAAGTTTTATTTATGGTTTTTAGTTTTAGTTTTTGTTTTTGTTTTTTGTTTAAAATGTAATTCTAGTCCAACAAAAAAAAACTATTAAAACTTCTTATTAAGTTATTAGGCATTCCTAGACATGTACAAAAATTTTGGTACCCCCCCGATAATGCGAAAGTGCCTAATGTTTTGATCGTGATGAAATTGGGAGCGGCCACCATGCATTGGCTGGAACGAACGCATTTTGGTTTTATGAAAATTTGAAACTCACAGTTTATCGCGCAAAATGTGCGCATTTTTAGCTGAATTGCATCCGCTTTTTAGATGGCTAGCTATTCATTGCTTTCATTTTTATTCTATAGAATGAATTTTATAGAGGGGTTTAATTTTCGGCAATTTAATTTTTTTGGGAAAAATGGGCAGTTGTTTGTTTAAAATTACAATATTTTATTTTTGTTTATTTCAAAATTATTTCGTAAAGTAAAATAATTTAAGACACAGTTTTGGACAATGCATAAAAAAGCAACGCATAAATAATAAATAAAAAAATGAAGTCGAAGTTGGCAGTTGGGAGATCGAAAACGCACGAAAGAGATATTACTAAGCGTTTAAACATCTTGCTGTTGCCAAAAGTTGAAACCCAATATTTTCGCGAAATACAATAATTGGTGACAAAATTTTAGAAAAATTTGTTTCAAAGAAATCACCAGATCCCAAAAATTCTTTTATGGGATTGATACTTGATGCGGTTAGTTTGCTTTTAAAAACGTAAAACTCCGCCTTAAAGCTCCACTTTTCAGGATCAGCGCCGAGAAAGCGCAGCAAGCAGCAAAAATACGGAAGTTGTTTATTTTGCTGTTGGTCTTTGTCGCGTATTCTATTGGTGCCACTGGATATATCATTTTTATGTTTACGCAGTGTAAATGAAATAATAGATTTATTGAAAGTGCTCGACAAGTACAGAGACAACAGAGAAAGTAAGTGGGAGTGAGTGCGAGAGGGAGAGTGAGAGAAAAAGGACGAGAGGGGACAGAGAGAGCGCGACAGAGAGAGCGCGCGCGCGAGAGAGAGAGAGAGAGAGAGAGAGAGAGAAAGAGAGAGAGAGAAAGAGAGGGCGAGATCGTTGCCGAAATTGATACGAAAAACAGCATTGTTTCAACATCAAAATCGACGTTTCAACGCATTAAATCTTGTAACATTTTAACGGCTGAAATTAACAGAATGATTAAAATTACGCAAGGATTCTGGAAATGGTGTTACGCACTTTCACGAACAAAAGGAGCCAGGAGGACCGGCGGCGCGGTCGCGTTACGGCAGCTTCTGGTTATGCCGAAAATCAAGGATAAGGGCATGGACCAGGCTTTTCGGTGCTTTTAATGGCTTTCGTAACTGAAAAACTCCGATTTTTACGATTTTGGTATCGATCGAAATCTCCCGAGTCAAGCGAGAAAACAAGGAGCGTTAATGTTCTTAATTATGTATTTTTATTCGCGAATTTTACGTCCCAAAAAACGATGAACTCGGCTGAGTTATGCAAGATTTGCATTCTAATTGCAAAATTCCCATGGAAAAATTGCGCGTTTTTTAGAAAAAGGTTGATAATGGATGGGATGCGATTAAATCTCAGAAAATGCAACCACAGGTTTTCTGGCCTTTTCGAGGGCTTTCGAATGGTGTAAAAATCATCCTGATCTGAGCTTTCTCCGGAGCGCTAGAGGAGGGTAGTTTTTTGGGAAATCTAGCGGATTTGAAGTGATTGCTTTAACTCCATTTGTACTTGTACATGCAAGTTTGTGAAACATTTTTTTATCCATGAGAACCAACCCTGGTATAGTTTTTGCGTTCACTAACTGCACTTAATTGTCGTGATTTATTCCGTCATCCGGTCTAGTGTGGTTTAGCACTTCATTCAACACTGCTAAAAGCAGCCAGCAGGAATTCGCGATAAGTGATGATAAAGGGCCGCAAGCATCGGCACCGGCTGTCTCTCTCTCTCTCTCTCTCTCTCTCTCTCTCTATCTGCATGTACTTCGCATCTGCCGCTAATCGATTTTGAGGGTGATTTTTAATTCGTGCTTATTTGACTTGGAAATTTGCGTGTCTTGTCGTCCCTGGACAATCATTTATTAAACGCTGAAACACTTGACTTAAAGTAGCTTGTCAGACCAAGCGACTTATGACCCTTTTTAAATTGTCTTTTTTTAACCTTAACATTTTCAACAAATTTTTTATTTACCGTGACTAAAAATAGAAACTGCTTTCATGCATCTATTCCTCGAACGATTAATGTTATCCCAATATGGTGATCCATAAAATATGATAAAACATTTTTTGGTAATTTGTTCGGACTGTGCACTTATTCTACCGCTTTTATTAGATTAATAAACAAAGAACTTTACAAAAATCGATTTTTAGGAATTTAGGGCTATTAAAAAAATTCTAGCCAGACGACTCGAAACATTTTTAGGTTCAAAACATTTTCTTAAAATACGTATTATCTCTATACGTATATACGTCTTAAATACCTTCTATTGAAGTACATTAAAAGCGTCGCTATAATCGGCTTGTTTTGGATTCGCAAACTACGATTTCTGAATAAATTTTTAGATTTTGGCAATCTCCATCAGGGGTAGGCTAGTAGAGATAATTTAGGATTCCCCTCAATAAATAAAAAATTCTTTGCAATCATTGTTAAATTGCCATTTTGGGGCAGGCAAGCTAACACAGACTGATTTTAGAGATTTATTTTTAGTCACCCTTATTTTTTGCAGCTCCAAAATTTCAGGCTAGCGAAGAAGATAGGGAAATTAGATTGCGCTTAGCTCAGCCAAACCTGAAATTTTTTGCAACATATCTTTATTATGTTTATATTTTGTTTTTTTGCATCCTGGCAGAGTCTTATGAGCGATCTGGAAAGCCGCAAAAAAACTTGGTTTTTTCACATTATGGGGTGGGGGGGATTTCCTAAGGATCCACTTTCCTACCCTACAAAATCCAGTGGTTCTAATCTGTCGTTTAATACTCTTAAGCGTAGACACTTTAATACCTTTTATAAAAAGCACAAAAATATGTGGTTCTTTAGGATTTCCGGGGAAGTATTTCCGGGGGGAACCAAATTTTTTCGGCGCAAGCCTAAATTTTTTTCTAAATAGCGCATGCGTTTCTAAATGGTTTTTAACTATTCCTGAGCATAAAAACTACCCACATTTTAATTAAAAAATTTAATTTTAGGTCGAAAAATCCTATAGAACCTTTAGGATTAGCGGGGGGGGGAAAGGCCCAAAATGACCAATTTTCGACTTTTTCAAACATTTTTCTAACTTTTTTGAAAGGTTTTTCTACTTTAAATATAGTTAAAATTTACTAAAAACAATGTCAAAACACTTTATATTTGATTACTAGGTCAACCGGGAAAACCAGGAAAAAATTTGGTTCCCCCCCCCTCCCCCGGCTTTTCAACCCTGGCCCCGTCTTCCCCAATGATAACTTGGCTTTTCATAATTTTCCCCGATTCGGTTGACGAAAAATGAAAAATGCTCTGGCCGTCCCTTTATATAGGCTACCGCGACTTCCGGTGCATGCTAATTTGATCCTAACAAAGTAGGGTGTCCGATTACCCATGAAAAACTTAATTTTAATGTCGAAAACATCATTTTTTGTAAAATCTAATATGTGTGCAGTCATCTCCAGCCCATTACGCATCTAATGACGTATCGAACATACCCCTAAGTGCTTCCCCTCTTGAGATACTATTGGAACACGGTGACGGAAGTTGCATGCAAAGTGGCACACACACACACAGACACTATTTTTTTATATCCTACTATATATAAAAAAATAGTGTCTGTGTGTGTGTGTGTGTGCATTTGCATGCAACTTCCGTGAGGATGTTCCGCACCTACAGCCTCAGGGAAGCATTTTTTCGGTACTGAAGAAACGTCATTAGGTAAAGAAGGGTCCGGAATCGACTGCACGCACATAAAATCTTTGAAAAATTGCTATTTTCGCTATTAAAAACAAATTTTTGTAAAATTCTCGCCCACCCTCTTTGTTAGGGATCAATTCGCATACGCCGGAAGTCGGATAGCCTATATAAAGCGACAGAGGAGCCGTTTTTCACTTTTTTCCTGATAGATTTTGGGGAAGAAGCATGCAAATTGAAGACTTTCATCGGTCCTAGACGGGGCCAGGGTGAAAAGACGCGAAGCGGTTTTTCAACCCTGGTATAGTAGGATACTGTTAATTTAGCTAAAAACATTAAAACAGTTACCATTACGTTACCAGCCATTTATGGACTTCTAGGAAAAGTTTTGGAACCCTCCTCCGATAATGCAAAAGAAACTGTAGTCCACAAAATCAATAAAGTCATTGGGCAAGCTAGCAGACATCATTGTGGAAAACGTACCTTATTTTTCTCAACGATCCATTGTCAATAAGCAATAAGCACTTGTTATCGGCTGTCCGGAGAGATGCATAAAGTGTCGCATTTTTAAAAGCGTGACCGGGGCACTTTCCGTTTGTTTCGATGGAAAGTGGCGGGCAGATGGAAAGAGAGACAAACGGAAAATATGAGAAATCGACTAGACAAAACGAAAAATCAGATATCAAAGCTCAGAAAATCGACTGGGTGATCAGCGCAAAACATGTTTCGAAAATGTTCTAAGTGCTGGAATTAAATTACTGGAATGATGCAATTCTTGCCATGACTTTCTTATTAATTGCTATGCCGTTTTTGGCTTTTTAGCGAATTTAATTAATTAAACAAATTTTCCAAATTTTGCTAAATGACAATAATGTATTTAATGATTTTGCTGATAAGAAAGCAGGTGTTTTGAACCGTGGAAATAATGTGTTCCAACAATTAATGATCATGATGACACTATTTTCATGGAATTCGGCATCAGGATATTATTGGCTTCTTAATCGCACGAATAATATATCACTTTATTTTTATATATCAGAGCTCAGAAAGCCGATTGGACGATCAGAGATTGCAACAAAATGTTTCAAAAATATTTTAGGTCTGGTAATTAGTGGAGCTGGATTTACCATTGCATTCGTGATACCTATTTTCTCTTGTTCTGTCTCGGTTAATTTGCCTAGTCACATAAATTCCTTAAATTTTGCGAAATGGTAATTCTGTGTTTTGCAAACGCGATAAAAAAGAATTTTCGAAGTAATGGAAATAATGTGTTTCGATAGTTTATGATCAGGATGACGCTATTTTACTAGAATTCGCAATAGCGCATGGAATTCATTATGGTACCAGAAATATAACACTTTATTTTTATTTTATAACAGAGCTTAGAAAATGTTTCAAAAAACTGCAGTGCTTACTTCGGCTAATTCACGAGAATTCGACCCACTTTTCCCTGATTCCACTTGTCGTCCATAGGTTTTTCTAGTTTAGCGGGGGGCTAATTTGATTTTTGTGCTCATATAAAACTGAATAAAATATAGACTTTTTTATAGTGTTGCAAGCAGCTTTTAATTCACCTACTAGATACCGCAGCCGTAACAATTTTAACTTGTTTCGCACACTAACAGTGGGCGAAACATTAAATTTCCCTATTTTCTGGCCTTTTCGAAATCTTATTTTGCCTTTCATAATTTTAAGCATGTAAACAAGCAAAATCCAGAAATCCACGAAAATTCAAATAAACAGCTGAGAAAATGGACTGGATGGACCCATCCGCGTAAGCTCCGCCCACTTTTTCCTCCCCGCTGCCCGCTATCTCGAATTTTGCATTCACACCCCCCTGGAAAAATGCGATTGTATAGGGCTTTCGATTTTTAAGAATTTGATAATTTAGTGTGAGAAGAAAATAGCCTGATTTTGCTTATTTTACTTTATAAAATTCCCCATTTTTCGAAAAATAAGCTGCATGAATAGTTCTGCTGAAACAATAGCCAACGCAATTAGTGGCTTCCACATTTCGAACATAGGTTTTTTGGGAAGTAATCGATTTATTTTCAAGTAAAATCGACATTCAAAATTAATGAGATTATTTATACAATTGTATGTAATCGTGTTATACCTAGGACGCAAATTGGTTCTTTCGCATTATCAGGGGGACCAGTATTTTTTCTCAGGATCCAATTTTTCACATATAAATAACGGAAGTGTTTCTAAGCTTTTTTTTACTATCCTTATGTGTACAAAAATTTACACATACCTAAGAAAAATGACAAAATTATCGATTTTTCGACCAAAAGTGGCCGATTTTGAGCAAAATTCCGTGGTTCTGAAAAATGTTTCAAAGTTTTAAATAGTTTTTTAGCTGAATTATAGCTTCATATTACCAAAAAAATATACAAAATGCCTTAGACTTCCACAAATATTTTCGCCCCCCGATAATGCGAAAGAACTTCGAAACTGAGCTTAAAATATGTTACATGATTTAAAGTAGCTGAATGCATGTTCGATGGTGTAATATGACGTGCATTTTTGTTATACGCTAGGGATCACCACACAAATTCCTTTTTCATATTTTTTAGATTTTTAGCTTTCACTGAACCATCCTTTTAAAAATAATTGACCAAGCTTTTTGTGGAGATTTCCAGATGAATATTTTTCTTTTATCGTTGTTGCGCCAAATTCAAAGTTTTATTTTCATAATTTCGTTATTTTCGAGGCGTAATGCACAATGTGGTGCTGTATGCAATCGCGTTCACCCTCCTCCTCATCGTCACCCTTTTTGAGGTGAGTCTGAATTTTTGTTACCCGACTACATGGAATAGTTTCTACTATTTCCCTTTTGCCATTTTTACTGTAACATATTTTTCTACGGATTTTAACCATGAGGTTTTAAACCATTCCTTAAATTCCCTTTCCTGGTGGCCCTGTCACTTTTTGGGTTCTTTCCCATTATCGGGGGGAACAATTTTTTTGGTATGGATCTAGAAATGTCTAGTAACTTAATAGAAAGTATTTTTATGATGTTCTTAGTAATATGAAATGATATTTTAACGAGAAAAACTCTATAAAGGGTTTGAAAAATTTTTCAAAAGGCCGAATGTTCGTAAAAAATATCCATTTTTGATCGAAAAATCGATACTTTTTTATTGTTTTTTTGAATAGAAATGTATAACGTTTTTACGTTTAGAAATAGTAAAAACCAGTCTAAAACAAAAAAAAACACTTGCGCTATTTATATTTAAAAAAATGGTTCCTAAGAAAAATTCTAGCCTCTGCTAGCCTGCCTTTCCCGTTGGAGCTGTAGAAATCAAAAAAGGAATGTAAAATCAATGCTTTCACAGGATTCGGCGCACCCACTTGATCTCGAAATTTCAGTGTTTCAACTTTTCTGATGGCTTGAAACGATTAGCGTAAAATTAATCTTCGCACTGTATTGGTTGGCATTATGGTTTTTTTTTAATTAATTTGGGCGTCATTTGAATTTTGCATAGCTGAAAAAATCTATAGTGCTGCCTTACAGATAAATCTTTAAAAATGCAAGTCCTTAGAAATGGGACCCTGCCCTGTTTTAATAAAATTCACTTTTTCAAAAATATTTGGTCCATCAATTTCTACGAAACCGGTATTTTTCAAGGCGCACCAATGTGGCAACATCTTTTTGTCAATGGCTTCTCGTATCTTAAATACAGCCGACCAACCCCCATTTTCCGGGTTGTTTTTGTTTAAGTTATAACTTTCTCAAATTCTTGTGTTTTGATCTAGAATTAAAATTGACAGTAGACTGTGTGATTATCGACCGGGTCGCGATGATGTAGTGCCCAAGAAATAGCGAAACATTGAAAAATCTACCGCATTACACATGCTTAAACTTTGCGAAAATACTATAATTGGCAGATTTGGAGCCTTATTCTAAAATTATTAGTCAATTTTAAATAGTTTTTCTGTTTTTAAATCATCGAATTTGGGCCGGAAACTGAGAATAAAATAGATTCTAAGGGTGACCACAGGAATTTCAAAACCACGCACTTCCCGCGCTTTTGGCGTACAGAGGCGTTCCGCGTACAAGGCCCCGGTTTCCTTTAACAACCCTTTTCATACTTAAAACCTTACTTTAAAATACTGATTACGATATATAATTAATCCCCCGGCTACAAATCTCATAATTTACGAGATTTGTCAGTTTTGTTTTTACGCGCTAAAATAGTTTTTATTACTTTCTTGAACCATCTATCCATTTTTTAACCTCTGGAGTCATTTTCCGGATGTCTGATTTTGACCGCAGGTCCCTTTAAAAAGGTGGTTTGATCGAATTAGCATGCCTTAAAATGCAAATCTTTGGATTTTGTTGAAACATTTTTTTATTAATAAATTTTTTTCAGATGAGCGAGCTGATCGTCGATGCCACGAAAAATCACCTTACCATTCGGGTATGTTTTATGTATTTTTATGGTTATAAAAAGTAGCGTAATTTTAAACTATAGAAATATTGCTATTGTAACATTTTAATCCACCAGATACAACTGCATATCTTTCAAATTCGTGCAAAACCCATAAATAATATGGCTCGCATCTAGGCACGGCTAATTACCAAACGCATTGCCCAGTAAAAACACTGAATTTCTTGAAACATTTTCAATTGTGGTTCTATCGCATTCACGGGGGAGGGGCGATCTTTTTTATGTACGTCTGGAAATTTCTAGTAACTTAGAAGGAAGTGTTTTAATGATTGAAAAACTATCTAAAAACTATCAAAAATTTTGAAAAATTCAAAACTACATGCGTTGCATTTGTTATTTACTATTTTAAGCATATTTTTGGTTTATTTCTGAACTTGCTTACAGTGGCACAATTACGGAAAAATAATTAAGCTCCTTTAAGTATTTGGTCTGAAACACATGAATTTCAATTTTTGTTTTCTAGGCCTTAGCAATCTGCTTGGGTAGTGCGGCGACACTCGGCGTGCTCGTCGTCGCCTACCGTAATCAGACCAGGCGAAAAGTGGGTGATCTGGAATATGGTGGTGGAAACGACAAGGAGATACAACGGTTACGGTAGGTATGCTTAGGCTTCGGGTTAAGCTTAGGCATAGGCTCAGGCTTAGGCTTAGGCTTAAGCTTGAGCTTAAGCGTAGGCTCCGAAACCTCTGAAGAATTCCCATCGTTCCCAGGTTTTATAACATTTTTTCTCTGTATGAAAAGGGCAAACAGGAAAAACCACAGGAATAGCAATAAGAGCACGATTGGCAAAAATTGAATTGCCACCGTTTTGAAATTTTTCGAAACATGTAATTAGAAAACTGTTTTTTTTGTTATAAGCTTTTATAGAAAAACAGTGTTTAGAGGGGGGACTAATCTTTGTTTTCCCGCTTATTTGTCAATAATATCCAATGCATTGTTTGCAATATTTTTAGCAGTTTTTGATTTGGTTTGATTTGATTTGATTGGTAGAAGCTGACAAAAATTTACACATTTTTGCACTTCCAAAAAATCTTCGAATTTGTTTATTCGCAGAGAAAACGGTTTTTAATAGATTTTGGACCGAAAAGTCGAAATTTTTCAAGATCTTGATGGGTTTCAGATCTAAAAACTGTTAAATGCTATGAAAATTGTGATATTTTGACATAGGGCTATGCCGGACTACTGGGAAAATCTTTCCCTTTCCCCCTGTTATCCCTCCCCCCGCTAACAGTCCAGTACCCCGGAGTTTTTATGACATTCACTGCGAAGGCAATTCGAGATACGAAAAAGCATCAAATTGGCTAAACCATAATCGTGCCCGGTTTGAACTTTTTCGAAACATGACATCTGAAAAATCTTTTTGTTTGTTAAATTTTTCATGGGTTCGAATTTAGGGCCGACGTGGAGCTACTACGAACGGAGGTCGACGAACTGAAAGAGCAGCTTTTAAGAGGGCGCACCGTCACATTTACGCGTGATGGCAGCCGCGCCGGGCACAAATGTGGGAATTTTATGTTTATTAACTATTCTACAAAACTATAATGATACCAAAGCTATACAGAAATATTAGAAAAAGAATTTTCTGCGGTTGAGGCGCAGCCAGAAAATAAATAAATTTCTACGCCGAAAATCGGATAAATCATTGAAGATAAACCGGTCCGGACCACAACTTTATACGAAACTTAAATTTTTAATTTCTGCCAAAAACAGGGATCGGTGAAATTTCCAAACTGCCGATTTTTTGGCATCGACTTTGCGGGTTTTCCGGCTGATTTACTTTGGTAAATTTCGGCGTTATGAAATTTGGGCATTATCAATTTTGACATTTTAAAGTAACCCTGTTTTGATTAGCATTTTGTCTATGCAGAACTCTTTCTAAATTTATTGGTTTTTGATAACTTGAATTTTTTTGATAAGTCATTTATGTGATGTTTAAGGGATTTTTTACCGACAATAGTTGTTAAAAAAACAATATTATTTCCGAAAAATATTTTTTGTGAAAGGTATGTTTCGATAAACATTCAATAGCAAATAAGGCCAGCCGTGACAATAGTTCTTCGGATGGGAATATGCAATGTTCCTGTTTCAGCGTGTCTAAAAACCGGGGATCTACGCGGCTCCGTGCGGATCAACCACACTTCGGATGACGATTATTATACGAGTGCCGATGAGGATTGGTAACTTTTTAAAAAGGTTATTGACCCGCGACATTAAAATTTACTGTACTCTCAAATAATAATAATTATGCCTTATTTTCACCAGAGATTCCTCATCAATTTCCGGCCGCAGCTTTTATATTTTTTGAAACATGGCGTCCCACAGCCTTTCAGGGTTTAGATGCATATGTTCGAATTTTTTTTTGTATTTTTGCAATAGTTAATATCCTTTTTTAGAAACTACTTAAGTTTCCGAATCGGGTTTTACAAGAATTAAATTTAAATAAAGCCATGTTTAGTGAATTTTTCGAGCCTGCTGACAGATTTTTAAAATCAATTAAAAAACATACGCTTGGATGCCGCCAGAACCAATTATAGCGAGTTTTTTTAGAAAAAACTCGGAACTTTTGGATTAAAAAAGCCCCTAAACTCAGAAAAACTCTGATATGAAGAAGTTTGTTCGAAAGTCCTCAAGTCCTTAAAAGCCCCTCATATCTGACAAAACTGGGTTTGCAGGATCGCGCCCCGACGCGACGCCCCAGCTACGAATGGTGCCATTTTGAGCCAGCCTGTTGCGCCGGCCGCCAGCGCCAAACGCCAGGTAACTTGCTACGTAATTTCTAAATTTATTTTCTTGCTGTTAATAATCTTTTTCGAACATATAACACTGAAAAAATGTGTTTGATGCTGAGTAGTGGAACTTGGCAGGAAAAATATGATAATTTGATGAATCATATCGCATGACACGAAATTTCGGTTTTTCATAACGTGGCCCGGGTAAGGCGAGAGAGGGAGAGAAAGTTATAGAGAACGAGAGAGAGTCGGAGGGCGAGAGAGGGAGGGAGAGAGAGTGAGAGAGGGAGCGAGAGAAATCGAAAGAGTGAGTGAGAGTGAGAGAGAGTCAGATAGAGAGAGAGAAAGACCGGGAGAGAGATAGAGAGTGAGTGCGAGAGCGAGAGAGAGTGAGTGTGAGACAGAGCGCGAGAGTGAGAGAGAGCGATAATTACTTTGAAGTTTCATTCATTTAAATTTGGCTGGAATTTTATCGGCTGTCCTCCTGTCCCACTCCCTTTAAAAGCGAATTCCCGGATGCGGGGGCGTGAACCATAAAATAACGGAAAGCAGATCCAGAACTGTCTAGCGCACGTGGGAGGGGACCGGTTTTCCCTCGATTTCCCTCAATTCATCGCTAAGGCCAAGTTCGCCCGGTTCAAACCCATTTTCCCGCCTTTTCGCCAAGGCAAAATGACCCCAAGAAAAAAACACGCCACTCCAAAAAAGACGGGGGTGTTTCCGGAAAAAATATTTACCCAGGGATTCAATAATTTGTAAGAGTAAAAATTAAAAAGTGATAAAGGCATTTGGCTGCCAAGCACCAGGTAAACTATCAGTTATAGAGTTACGAAAATCGGCCTGTAAAAAATATGTTTAAAAAAATTCGATGGTCGCCTCAGTTGTGATTCGACATGCTAGCCTTCTATGCAGCAATAACCCAAATCATCCGGTTAAATTATCGCGCAATTCTCCTAGGTACTAAACTTTTTGCGGGGGGGGGGGGTTACACTTTTACTTATTTGCCTATACCTTCTTCGTTTATAATACGCGGTGTATTTTCATTAGTTTTTAGTCGTTTTGATTGCCAGAAACTTCTCCAAAATACTAAAGATTTGACCAAATTTAATTTTAAAAATTTTAAATTTTAAATTTTCTGTGAAATATCGTTTTAAAATGCAGAATTGGCTTGCAAAAATCTCGAAATTTCACTGCACCTTTAATTTTACCGATTTGCCTGGTGAATTAACGAATTACCGAAAAGCTTTACTGTAGCGTTTTTGCAACATATTTTTTTAACAAAATATAAAAATACCAATGGGTTTTTTGGGCAGTTCAAGTATTTGTCTGGAGTGAATAAGAGTGTTTTTATTTATTTTCGGGGCTGTCTCACTCTCATTTTCTCTCTCTCTCTCTCTGTCTCCCTATCTCTCGCTCTCTCCCATTTCGTGTCCATCGCCGCTAAAAATACACAAACAAATCTGCGGCCCGAGCGTGCGATTCACCTTGAGAATACACTTGAGCTGAACCAAATTCAGGCGGCAAAAAATGGATTAAACAGGGGGGTTAGTAGAAGTTAAAAAGAACAGGCCAGATTGTATACTTAGATTTAAGCGTGAAACTCTTTTATTAAATTTTGTATGGTTCGTTTTTCTGGTTCGTTTGTGAAAACTAATTCACTCGTATATCCTCGGATCACCTCGCCCACTAGTAATAGTTTTTCAAAATCTTTTTTGGACAAACTTTGAAACATCGATATTTTGAAAAATTCGAATATCAAATTTGATGAGATTCACACCGAGATTCGAAAGAAAAAATGCGACTATGCTCAATGTAGACAGGATTATTATCATAAAAGCTTTTCGTGAAATGCTTAAAAACAATGAAACATCTTTCTGATTTTTGCATGATGCTGTTTGTTATAGGCATTCGCCCACTGCGACAAGCTGTTCGAAGAGCTGCAGGGTGCCGATGAGCAGTACGCACTGATGAACAAGGTATGTTTCGAAAAGTAATATTATTAAAAACATAATCAACATTAAATTCCAATGAAAAACCCCAGCTAGAAAAAATATGTTTTGAAAATATCAAGGTTCAGTGAGCTGGCAACCAGAATAGTGAAGAAAAGGTTCTACGAAATTTGTGGTTTTTATGTAGCGGACTTTACATATTTGTATTTAAATTTAAACCAATTAAAACTTTATATGAAGAATATATTACCTTTAATATTATATAGAAAATGACTATATAAAATCGATGGCTCCGTGAAAACCTCCGCAAAAAGACGTGTTTCAAAAAACTAAATTACTAGCAAAATGATTCCTGTGCTTCAATTTAGCATTGTATTCGAGAGTAGCTATTAATTTCACTAAAATTTATATATCGAGCTTCAAAAAGCAAAAATTGCCAAAATATGTTTCAAAAAAATTTAACTAACCTGAACGTTCCGTGGGTATGATTTGATTTTGCTAGCCCACGAATCTGCACAGAAAGTATTTTAATAACTTGTTACAATTTTAATCAGCTTACTCATGCGCAAAATTTAATAGAAATTCAATTTTCATAAAAGAAATATACAGGGTGCCCCAATAAAAAACACCCCCCTCTGACTCGACGCAGAAGTATCGGATCTGAATGATAGTTACACCATTCGATAGCCCTTCAAACGACTAGTTTGCAACATGCTTCAAACCCATCTTTTTATTTAAACCCGCCATTTTACAAACCATTTTGTAAGATGTTGTGGTTTTTCGGGGTTGCATCCGAGCTAATTAGCCTCAATTTCTCCATACAAAATGGCCGTAAGTAGCCGTTAATTAGATGCAGAGGCCGTTCCTTAAGGTGTTTCAATGCGTTGTAAGATAGAGAATTTAAATAAAAACATGGTTTTGGAGGGTGTTGCAAAGTGGCCGTTTCAAGGGCTTTCGAATGGTGTAACTATCATCCCGATACGATACTTCTGCGTTGAGTTAGAGGGGATGTTTCTTTATTTATTGGGACACCCTGTACTTGAATTTAGTGGAAGGCGGACGAGGGCGAGGATTGGGAAGTGTTATGGCGATTGGCCCGTGCGTGCCAGATGCAAAGCGGCGCCTTTGACAAGAAGGACCCCAGGAAAAAGGAGAAATTTTTTGAAGGTATGTTTCGGGAATTCATAATAATTTCCAATTTTTTTGAGCAGCTAATATTGACAAATATCAAGACAAGCGACTGTGCCGAAAAAAGGCAAAATACCGACAGCAATCATACTGACAGATCAAAATGCCGACAATTACCGATGGCGAAAATCCTGACAGCTAATCCCGACGTCGTAATCTCGAAGGTCCGAATCTCGAAATACCAAAATCCGGAAAACACGATAGCCAAAACATCGAGAGCCGAAGGCCCGACATCTGAAATACCGACAGCTAATTTCCCGACAGGTCATCTTGCCGACGGACCGAATTTCCGAAGATATATCCCGATAGACAAAATACCGACAGCAATAATACCGACAGCTATATTCCCAAAAGCCACAATGCTGGCGGCCATAATGCCGAGAGCCAAAATCCGGCGGAAATTTGAAGAACTGGACAGTTAAAAATCTGATAGGCGAAAATACCGACAGCCAGAATGGCGACCACTGTAATCGAGAAAGCCATAATCCCGACAGTCCTAATCTTGAGAGCAAAAATCCCGACATAAACAATGTCGATAGCCAAAATATCGACAGCGAAAATCCCGACCGACCAAAATCCCGACAGCCCTAATCTTGAGAGCCAAAATCCGGTAGTAAGAACCCCGAGAGGCCATGAAGATGTCGCCATTTCGGCTTTCCGCAATAAAATGTGTTTCGAGAAAAATTCAGAATAAAAAAATCTTTTTTTTTACTAAAATTAGTTTAGGACGCGAATACGGGCAGCGTGCTTGCGAGCTGTCACCCGGTGATTTTGATGTGGGTTTATGTAAATTTTGGCTTTAAAAAAATCAGAATCAGAGAGACGGATGTCCAAAAAACCGTAAAATTTCCAAAAGATTTATTTAAAAATTCAATTAATAAAAATTAATAAAAGGAAATTAATAAATTTTCGTGCAGGCGATAAAATGGGCGGCGGTGCTGACGGGCGGTGCGACGGATTATTTGGCCACCAAGGACCGTATCGAGCAGGGAAATGTTTTTAAGGTAGGTGTGACTCACCACGAAGTATCCAATATTGCCAAAAGATACCCTCGATATAACCAAACAGATGTAACATGAAAAATTTAGGGTTCTATGAATAAATAGGGCTACACTTTCACACAATCCGGATTAAAATTTATGAAATTAAATCAGTTTACTAAATCAAATAATTATTTATAACGCTAAATTATAGGAATTTAATTTAATTTTTTATAATTACATGATTTCGGCTAAAAATTAAATCCTTCAAATTTGACATTTTGTTCAAGAAACGGCTTTTTGATCGACAAATCGATATTTTGTTGTATTTTTGTGCAAATTTGTAAAACTTTTCTTTTTAGGAATAGTCAGGAACAGTTTAGAAATCCTTGTCTATTTATGTTGAAAAAATTGGATACCGAGAGAAAAGAGAGAAAAATGCGCAAACCTGGACTTATATAGAACTATCACATATACATTAAAATAATAACATTACTTTACATTAAATTTTTAGATTAATTAAATAAAACTAAATAAATTATAAAATTACTTAATATTTATTAGGAAGCAATTAGTAGACGCAGAATGGTTCGAATAACCCACACCAAAATGATCAAACCTGTAAAATTTATAAAACACACTTTCAGTCATACCTCGACCGTGCCCTCGCCATCGACCCGCGAGATTTCATGGTGCTCCATATGCGCGGACGATTTTCGTATTCGGTCTCGCAGTTGACGTGGGTTGAGCGAAAGGTAAGTATGAATTAAATATAACAAAAATAAAAATACACTGGACCTAAAGGGGTTCCGAAGTCTGGGCCACGGCCCCTTGCTGTGATTCCTGTCAAATAGCCAGATTGGACCATAAGGCGACCGCGCCGCACGATTTTTGCCCCTGCTTGGACGTGAAAACGCTTGAATTTCAATATTCTGTCGTTATTTCTGGAATCCTCATCGAATTTTGATCATTCTGAGCTTTTTAATGATGAAAATTGATCAGAGAATCACCGAGAACGATAGATTGGGTGTCTTACAAGGCATTACGACAGGCACTTTTCGGTTTTTCTTAAATATTTTATGTTTGTCGCAATAAAATCAGTTTTCTAGTAATTTTCGACAATGACCTTTCGTTTTTGACCAGCAGGTTCTATCTACACAATTCTTGCCTTCCGAGCCACTTCAAATCGAGTAATGTTTTTGAAATCTAAATGTTTCATTTATACCCCACATAAAGCCGAGGGCAACCTGGCAATTCGGTTCGCTCAAATGTGATGAAAACTTTTATGAGGCAGTCGCGATTTAATTCAAAGTATAAAGTCATAAAGTAGCTATCGTAGAGTTCTAAATTAATATGTACTATTCTTTAGTCATTTTTCACGGCCAGCAAGTTATAAACAATATTTTTAAGAATTTAAAAATTCGAAATCTGATCGTTGGTCATTTTTCATGAATTTTTGACAGAACAGCAAAATTTGAAGTTTTTTAATTTGTAAAATTCTACAAAAATGGTCTATATTTTATCCCTACAGAATTACTGGAAATAATTTTATTTCCCTCTTCTAAAAATCACTCCCCCCCGCTAACCGTCCAGTCCCAAAGCCCGCAATTTCAGATGGCGTCGACCTTCTTCGCCGACCCGCCAACCGCCACAATTCAGGAGGCCATTGAGGACTTTGCGGCTGCTGATAAAGTGGGTCTTATCCTAATAATTTAATTGTATTATTTGAAATTTTGAAAATCTATTTAAATTAAATTAAAAAATCTTGTAAAATCGGTGGCACCAAAAATTTCAGTGTACCTTTCGAAAAAACGTGTTTTAAAAAATTGGTGATTTCAGCGGATCTTAACTCACCCAATTTGTCCCGAGCAGGTGATATTTTTGCAAAGCGGGATGTGATCACTCAGGAATTTAACATTTAAATGGGGGAAAAAATTGTTTAAATCCATACTTAGGGTATTTTTTTACGTAGCATTGATCGAATTTAGTTTACAAAATTTCGAAAAATGTACAAATTTTAAAAGTTATTTGTTGCTTTTTTTTGTTTTGCCGCAACTTTTTTATATTAAAGTAACTTGCGCTGCGATTAAAAATCTTTGGATATTTTTTTTTGCTGCTCTATCGAATAGCTGTTAAAAAATCTCGAAGAATAGCGAAAATCTCGACAAAAATTGAGCTTTTCCGGACAGCAGTTTTTCCAAAAAAACTTGTGTTTCGTCAAATTTTACTTCCAAATTCCAATAAAAACCTATAATTCTTGTATATTTCGCACAAGCCCAGTTTTCAGGAAAAGCCGGAATGGCCGGAGAATTTGCTGTGGTTGGGGAAGAGCCATATCGCCAACAAGGATAAGGTATGCAACAAGTTGTTTCCCGTCCCTTTAGTCGTTGGGATATTTTCTCGGGGTATAATCAGAGCAATTGTGGGACCAAGATTATGAAGGTCAACCCCACTCTTTTTAGTAGTTTGTCTAAAACATCCTTCTTAAAGACCGTATTTTTTCAATCCGCGGTTAACCCGTTTTTCTTTTTCTAAGATCCAGCATTTTTATTTCCCTAACTAGCGTAGTTCGATTGAAGAAGACCGGCATCGAGTTATCCTTTTTGAACGTAAAACATAATTTTGAAACCGTACATTACTTTTGGCTACTTTCTTTGTCAAGCTCAACAACATAACCAGGTTCTTACGCAATATCGGGGGGGGGGGGGTTTATCGGGGGAAAATAATTTTTCTATCGATTTAGAAAGGCCTGGTGACTTATTAGCCGATATTTTCATAATGTTTTTGGTAAAATAAAACGTTATTTTAACTAGCAAAACGTCCAGGGGTAAAGTCACTACCCCGAAAGTCACTACCCCGAAATAATTTGCATGATTTTCATAGGAAAACCGCATGAAAACTGGATTTTTCCGGGAAAAACAATGCTATCATTTTTCGGGGTAGTGACTTTCGGGGTAATGACTTTTCGGGGTAGTGACTTTTCGGGGTAGTGACTTTCGGGGTAGTGACTTTCGGGGTAATGACTTTTCGGGGTAGTGACTTTTCGGGGTAGTGACTTTCGGGGTAGTGACTTTCGGGGTAGTGACTTTTCGGGGTAGTAACCGGACGCCAAACGTCCATTTTCGATCAAAAAAATGGAGATTTTTGCTTCTTTACTGCAATTTTGCAAAATTTATGCGTTTACAAACAGTATACAGGGTTATAAACACTACCGTTATTTATGTTTAAAAATTGGTTCCTAAGAAAAAATTTTCTTCCCCCTTCCCCACCGATAATGTATAAGGTATGGCCATTTTTTTATTGATTTTCAGGCATCGGCGCGGCAAGTATTGGAGCCGTGCTCCCGATTGACAGCCCCAGATGAGGGTGGAATGGCCTGTATACGGGAGGCCAAGGAGCTGCTTGCCAAATGTTGAATTGCCATGAAACTTTTTATTTATTCTGGCCGGAAAAATCCAGGGTATGTCTAGTCGATGGTGTATCAGCCCTCCTTCCATTTCCATTTCAAAAATTATTTGAAAAATAGCATTCCAGATTTAGAAAACGTATTAGCCTGGGATTTTAAGTCTTTATGACGTAAAATAATGATAAAACCTTACGGTTTTTAAACAAAAATTTTTCTGGTAAACGTTGAAGGTTCTTTGGCATTATCCGGTCGGACAAATCTTTTCTATGCATCCATATTTTAATGTAAGAGTTTCTAAGCTGTTTTTTACTATTCCTAAACTCAAAACTTTAGAACATTTAAGGAAAACTCCAAAAATAAAGATTTGGATGAAAATAGCACATGAAATTTTTTCTGAATTGTTCTGTGTATCTTTGATTAGCATACCGTTTTATAAAGTTTAGTAAAGCAGCTAATGAAACACTTAACTTTACATTAATAGACATTTCTGGACATGGGAAAATCCCTCCCCCGCCCCCGATAACGCAAAAGAACCACTTTAATTCCCTCGTGTTTAGTGAGGTTTTCCCTCAGAAAATACAGGGTGTCCCAAAAAAAGCACCCCTCCCGCATTTCGTCATATCACATCCGATCTGTCCCAGAGTTGGAAGAGAGGTGTATCAGACCTCAAATAACCACAATCCTGAGTTATAGCCCGCCAGCTACTGTAATCTTCGAGATACAACAAAAATAAACTTTATTATTCGTTTTTCATAAGGTTTACGTCGGAATCGACCCTTCGAACCTTAAGTGAAAATCAAGCGGCAAACCTTCTTTACCCCCTAAAAATTTTTTCCTGACAAAAATTAATTAAAGAACCGTTGATTTCAACAATTTTTGTAACCGAAAGTCACCCCCGATATAGCGAAATTAGGGATTCGCAGCCGGAAGTCGATGCAAATCAATGCAAAGTCCAAAAAGATAGCCGAAACAAGAGTTTAGAATCGCATAAAAAAATAGTATTTTGGCGATAACTCGAAAGCCACTGTAGCGATGGGGCTGTAACTCAGGATTGTGGTTATTTATGGTCCGATACACCCTTGTGCGAAGTATGGGATCGATTGGATGTAAGGCGGCGAAATGCCGGAGGGGTTCTTTTTTATGGGACACCCTGTACAATTAGCATTCCCCCATCTATCTGTCCATACTGTCGCTTTACCTGTCCGGATTTGAGTGCAATGATCGCGATGTATTTGCCGAAGCTATGCTCAAGCGGATTTTGAATAAAAATTTATTACATTCTCAAATACTTACAGTAGCGCTCAAAAAGAGAAAAGAAAAAACCCTCGGAACATCGTTTCGCCCTCAAAACTATATAACCAGTTTTTATGAAACTTTGCTATTCATCAAATTACAACCCAGGTCAATTATGATAAGGGGAACACTATCGCAACATCAAAATCTGTGCAGAATCGGATTTCAGTGATTAATTTTTTTAATTGCTAAAAATAATTTTTTTCGTGAGGTATTTTCCGGTTTTGTTGCGTGATTAGAACGTAGAAGTTGATTATTAGAATTGATTGTTGATTATTTCTGCGCGGGTCACGAACGAATTATTTACCAAAAAACTATTAGCACTGGTCCCTTAGCGAAACATGATTTTTTTTTTAAGAATCGTTTCCAGGTCAGTGGGAGCCAAGTTTCGATATTATCGCTCCTTTAACGTTATCCGAAAGAACGTGCAAAATATGCTGAAATCGCTATTCAGTCGTAGAAATTAGTTAAGCTATTAAAATCTGTAGAACAGAAATTTAAACGTGGAAAGAACATGGCTTGGAACCTAGTCCTACCCTTTTCGATATTTTTTTTTACATAATTGCTTTTATCCCAAGTGATAGATGACCAAAAATTATACTAAGCTTCTTAATTTCAGCCCTAAATAATGTAAGATAAAATAGTTATGACAAAAATAACCAAAATACGGAAAACCGCTGGAAATTCTTGATGTTTATTTTGGCCTAGCAACGGCAAGCCGCAATTATTTATCAAAAAATTATTTACACTGGTTTCAGCACCGAAACATGCTCTTTTTAAAAGCAAATTCCAGGTGAATATGAAAACGACAATTTTCGATATTTTACAAATTTTCTTTAACGCTATTCATGCAAGCGCCGAAAAATATTTTAAGCGTTTTAATTATAGCGCTTGTTAATGCAAAAAAAAAACTTATGGTAAAAATAGGCATTTAGTAAAGCTCGAGCCTAGGGAGCCCAGGGAGCCGGGAGCCAAAAGAGCTCAGGGAGCTTCCGGAGATATCAGGTTGGAAGGTAAGTCCTGTCGCCGAGATTTTGGAAGGCCGGCTAAAATCCTAGATAGCTCCATTCTGGACATGCAATATGTCATTTTGTAGCTCTCGGTCTGAACCGTTTTGGGAGGAGCGTCCTACACTTTCAAAATCAAGGAGGGCCGAGAAAAAGGCCCGAAAAGTTTTTCTCAAAATCACACAAAAGCGTTTTTGCAAGTTATCTCTGCATAGAGCCATTTGCATGCGATACTTTTAACACCAATCGCTAGCTCTCGAGGAGTAAATATTGATAGATGTTGAGATCATTAAAATCGGACATCGGATGGCCGAGATATGGCCCCTTGAAATTTTGCCCATTTCTTAGAACTTTTTCCGAAATCCCATACATTTTGTCAAAATCCGCGCGGCGCTTCCAAAAATCAATCGGCAATTTTCGGCCTCTGCCTGTCAAATGTATGGGAATGTATGGGATTTCGAGAAAAGTTCTAAGGAATGGGCTAAATTTCAAGGGGCCATATCTCGGCCATCCGATGTCCGATTTTGATGATCTCAACATCTATCAATATTTACTCCTCGAGAGCTAGCGATTGGTGTTAAAAGTATCGCATGCAAATGGCTCTATGCAGAGATAACTTGCAAAAACGCTTTTGTGTGATTTTGAGAAAAACTTTTCGGGCCTTTTTCTCGGCCCTCCTTGATTTTGAAAGTGTAGGACGCTCCTCCCAAAACGGTTCAGACCGAGAGCTACAAAATGACATATTGCATGTCCAGAATGGAGCTATCTAGGATTTTAGCCGGCCTTCCAAAATCTCGGCGACAGGACTTACCTTCCAACCTGATATAATAAAGCATCATTGACATGAATTTTCGACTATTATACTAGTATTGGTGCATTACTACAAGATTTAATACGAATTACGACTTTTATAACCTTATACTGCAAAACCGTCCTGGGCTCCCTGGGCTCGAGCTTTACAAACTGCCGTAAAAAATAAGCAAAATACGGAAGGCCTGTGTAAATTGTTGACGTTCATTTCCAAAGACAGCCGTGTCCTAATTATTCGTAAAGAAATTATTTATACTTGTTTCAGCAGCGAAACATGTTTTCTTAGAAAAAGAATTCCAGGACTAGATGAAAATAGCAAATACAACATAAGTATAACAAAAATTTAAGCGCGTTTTCCACCTAGGAACAACACAGCATAGAATCTACTTACCGACATTTCCTATAATTTTTTACAAAATTGCTTTTATCCCCATTCTAACTAGCATCGAAAAATATACCAAGCTTTTTAATTATGGCCTTAAATCATGTAAAATAAAATAGTTATGACAAAAATAACCAAAATCCGGAAGAGCTGTGTAAATTATTGAGGTTTATTTGCGATGAAAAACGAAAATTTATTTTTTATTAAAAAATTATTTACACATTGTTCAGCAGCGAAACATCTTTTCTTGAAAAAAAAAAAGCCAGGAGCATATGAAAACAACAAATCAAGTGAATGGGAAATATTGGAGATTGGTCACATCAGCAATGAAAAAAAAATCGATATACGATTAAAATTAACCATTATAAAGAAAAATGCCATTTCAGGCTTGAAAACCGACAACGAAAATTAAGGTGCAACAGAAATAATAAAAAGAAAAATCGACTTGGTGAAAAGAATGCACCAAAAATCCCGTGTAGCGGACTGGGGGCCGGGGTCATGGATTGGCTTAGAAAATTAAAGTGATTTGCATAAAATACGTTTGTATAGATTAAATATTGGGGTACGGTAGTGGATTTGGTAGAATCGGCTTTACAAAAAAATGAAAAATTTCGATAGAACAATTTGGCAATAAAAAGAGTTTCACCAATCTTTGGCGAGCAGCTCGCTTCTGGGTGGTTAATAATTTGGGCGGTGTTTTACGCGGAATTTTGCTGATTTTTATTCCCAAAATAAATTTCTACAAATTTTCTTTTTAAACGAGGGGATATTTAAAAAACCTTTCTTTGGAAGCCATTTAAAAATTAATTTGAGCCGATTTATTAGGGTAATTCGGGCGAGTTGCATAAAAATGTTTGTATAGATTAAATATTGGAAGGCGGCAGTGGATATGCCAGCTTACGCATTACAAAAAAGCAAAAAAGCAAATAAAAAATTTTTCAAAAAAAAAACGAGTTTAACCAATATTTGGTGAACAGCTCGATTTCGGCCGGTTAATCAACTACGGTTCAAGCTTTTTGTTATTTTTATTGCAAAATAGCTTTCTTTACATTTTCTTTGCAAACGGGGCGTTAATTCATCAATTTTGCCTTTAAAATGCCATTAAAAATCGAATTTTAGGCGGTTTTTGCCAGATTTTTTGAAAGTATGTTTCAGTTTTTGATAGGGATTTCAGTTAATAGGGGTTTTCAATGGTGAGTTCGTATGGATGATTAATTATTCCCCTGTAAAAAGTAGTATTCGTTGGCGTCCGGGGGCAGCTTCCATCCGGATGCGCCCAGCTCGAGGAGCAGCAGGATCATTTTCCTGTAAATTAAAGTACATCATTTAAACGTATGACTTTATTATAAATATTATTTTAATTAAAAATCAATTTATTATATGATTTTTATTATTAATTAAAAGTTGTTGTAAAATAAGTTTTTTTTGACTAAAGTTAAATGGCGTAAAAATCTTATAATTTTTACGCGTGATTTGACGGCATTTTCCAAACAAAAAGATAATTTTTTAAATAGAAACTTGGTCCCTAGTGATTTGGTCCCCCCGTTAAGCAACCTTTACCCTTGTTAACTTTTTCAAGGTTTAATTTAAATTTGACTTTTAAAACTAACCTGGCCCACGGCTCGTGCACGTCGATGAACGCATCGCGGATCAGGTCCTTCAGCTGTGAGAGTCGATCCGGACAATCACGCTCCAATCCCCAGCCGATGCTCAGCAGCGACGCGATCAGGCATTCGAGCTGAAACGTGCAATTATCAACGCAGAAATTCGGAATTCCGCTATTTTTCTTGGCAAAACATTCTTTTCTCGAAAACTGCAGAAAAACCTGGTTCTTTCGCATATCAAGGGCCGTCCATTTTTTTTATGAATTCGGAAATCCCTAGAAACGTAAAAGTAAATATTTAAAAAAATTTCTAACAAAAAGTAACTATATTTAAAGTCGAAGAACTATCTAAAAAAGTTACAGTAATTAAAAATCGAAATTTTGGTCGCAAATTGGACATTTTTGATGGAAAAATCGACATTGTTGTCTTTTTAAATAGAAATTTTTAAATTTTTTGCGTCTAGGATAAATCAAAAGGGCTTAGCAACACTGCCTTGATTTATATTAAAAAATCGTTATAAAGGAAATATCGAACTCTTCGTTAAATTGGTATCTATCATCCGTTCGTCGATTACGAATCCAGCACAAAGCATCTTTTTTGAAAGCTTCTCGAACTTGAGAAAACGCGCTATGTAGGTAAATTAAATAGCAGGTTGCTACGTGCAGCGAAAATCAATAATTTAAGGAAGTTATGGCACGTGGCCCCGAAGGACTTAAAGATACTTAAGTCTGTTGCTTTTAAATGTTTCATTTCCGAGCCATCCAAGCTGAATTTTCTCAGCTTTAATACCTTCATCTTTTGTAGAAGCTAAATTTTTTGAAAGCCTGCTTGCCGTTAGAAGCCCCGATATTGTAAAAGCACCCGCTATTGATCTGCTCAAAAAAAAATGTTAAACTGACGCCCATAAGCCGTCGACTATAGGACTTGTTTATCCCCCCATTTACCATTCTAGCCAAAACATCTATTTTGCCATCGTTTCGAGCTTGAAAAAATGAAACAAAAATCTTCCATGCGCACGAAAAACCATAGAAGAATCGATAGCGATGTTTTGGTCTTTCCTTTAAAGCGATTATTAAGCTAAGTTGGACTTGTTAACGTTTACATATTTTGCGCTGAAATGTTTCAAATTCGAGCAATTTGAAATCGGCTTTTCCACCTTTAATTCTGCCTTGGTTGCTATAGCATTTTTAAAAAAGCCTGATCACCGTTAGAATGCGAAAGGGGTAACTAGGAAAATATTTTATTTTGTTAAATACACTTTAAATTATCAGTTTGAAAAATTAAAATTGCCCGGCTGACCTCCTCGATTTTGAGCGTCTCCAAGACGGGCGCCCTCAACAAGTAGTCGAACACTTGGAAGACGACGTTCACCAGCTCGCCTGGACAGATATTTTAGCCAATTCCTGATTTACCAATTTTTTAAATTGTTAAAGTTAATCTGTCCCAACTATGGAGGCTAAAAATACAGCAGCGCCAGTTACTGTCGAAACATTTTTTGGATTAAAAATGTGCCGTTGCTCACAATTTTTGCATGTATGTAAATAATATTTAAAAATGAATTTTAAATAAATTGCAATCAGCTGAAAAAAAAGCCTTTTAAAGGCCTTTTAAATTCTTACAAGTGCTAGCCAACCAAAAAATTTCAAATTCACAACCTATCACGTTAAGAGTTTACCCCTCCTACACCCGAATTTTCGATATTTTCACTATTTTTGACGCGATTTTTGCAACGCCATTCGATAGAGCGTCGAAAAATATCCGAAGGGTTTTCATTTGAGCGTACAATATTGTAAAACAAAAAAGTTGTAGTCAAAAACTTCCGGCTGGGGGGTAAAGTAAACCGTAGCCCTTACCACTCTGTGCGTTCCCGATATTTGCATAGATATCGGAGACGAAATTCAGGAACGAAATCCACATCCGGAAGTGCTCTTGGCGAAGCCTACAAAGATAGAATAAAATGTTTCAAAAATATTCAGTGCGGCAAAAAAATTGAAAGCACCAATTCCTCCATATCCGAGTTTCTGTAACCTTGGTCTGGTCGCAGTGGAAATTCTGTGCGTGAGATAACACCGGAGTCGGTTTTCAAAAGTTGCAGTCGACAGTAATGGACAAATCCAAAAAATACAATACATTAAAAAATGTGTTACGGGAAAATTAGGGGTTTTTCACTTGGGCTCTTCAGTAATACCAGCATACTCCGTTCGTCTTACTAATAACTCTCGGGTGAACCAAAAAAAAGTTTCAGCTAACTGCAACCCTGTTCGATCGAGGTAGAAATTCGGTACATCAGATAGCGCATCATGTGCAGAATTTTGCGCTGATTCCGAATCCGTTTTCAAAAGTTGCGGAACCCCGCAGATTAAAAAGTTACAAGTGTTTTTAATACCCAAAACGCCACGAATTTCTTACCTTAAATTCTTCTGAAAATTCCGTGGAATAATTTTGAGGGAAAGTAAGCAATTCCGCCTGTTAAAAAACGTGCTCTTTCGAATGGGCTCCCTCACGAAACCGTAGCTCAAATTTGAAACCTTCGAAAATTGGCTAACTAGGGCAGGGCCCGCCAAAAAAGGTTTTTTCCAGATTTTGAGCTACGGGTTCGTGAGGTCGCCCATTCGAAAGAGCCCGTTTTCACCCCAGAAACTGACATACTTCCCCGCAAAAGTATTCCACGGAAAGTATTCTTTAGAAAAAATTAAAGTAAGAAATTCGTCGCGTTTTGGGCATTGAAAACACTTGTAACTTTTTTATTCTGGGGTGTTCCGCAACTTTTGAAACCGGATTCGGAATCACCGAAAAATTCTGCACAAGATGTGATATCTGACGTTCCGAATTTCCACTGGACCATAACAGGGCTGCAGTTAGTAGTTGATAGTTATTTTTTGGTTCACCGTAGAGTCATTAGTAACATCACGTGCGAAGGATTATTACTGAACGGCACAACTGAAAAATCAGTCATTTTTCTGTAACATTTTTTTCAAATTTTCTGAATTTTTCGATTACCGCACCCTGCGGAGTAACATTCTGTTGATGTTATTCAAACTATTAAACCGAGAAAAAATTAGTAAAAACAATACTAAAAACCATATTAAAAAACTAAACGACCGTACCGTTCCCTGCAGTCGAAATACTGGGCAACGGAGGCGTACAAGCCGCGTGAAAGTCCCGGGAAACATGGAGAATCCACCAAAAGGCCGCATGCCTGCAATTAAATGGTTCATTAAAAATTATCTCTTTAATTATTTATTTAAATTATTTATTAAACAGTGGAAATACATATACAAAAGAATTTGTTTAGCGAATAACACATCATATTATTTTCAAAGCAGACTTTCACGCTATTGGTTTTATTAAAACCGGCCAAATACCAAGATCGCTTGAAACATCTTTTCTTTCGGTTTAATTCTCACCAATCAAATTTTTTCTACAACTCTATATTTTTAACTATTTATCTACAGCGCGAGCACCGCGGATTGCCATGGTTAAAACCTGCGAAATACCAAGATTATTTGAAACACCTTTTCTTTCGTTTTGATTAAATTAAGTTTTGCTGTTATAGGCAAACCAAGGGCTTAACGAAGGACTCGTCATTTCTCTATAATAAACATAGTTTTTAATACGGTTTCCGCTTATAAAAGCGGTATATTTTTCGGTCCTCTATCGAATGACAATACCGAGCTATTAAAAATGCCGAAAGTAGGTTTTCCCCCCGATACCTATGTGCTGACCCCTGGTTTTCAGCCACAGTTTTTATGCTAGAAAACTTTTATGCTAAATCTTTTCTTGCTGAAATTAATTGTCTGAATAGATTTTCGGACGTCTGTTGAATGGCACTGGCGGAATCCTACGGTACAAATATTAGAAATAGATCGAGCCCCGTTATTTCAGTCATCCAACTAAATATTTGAACCCCGAATCATCATCTTCAAAACCTGGCCGCCAGCAAGGTTACTAGAAACACCGTTTCTTTCGTTTCTTCAAATTTTTTTTTAACGAGCACAGTAGAGTTTTTAAAATTATTAAATTAGGCTGTAACGAAGCAAAATACACAGAGAATTATCATGAATAGAACATGCCAAATTCTAAGATTGCTCGAAACACCGTTTCTGGAGCCGGTTTTTCCGTGGTGCCCTGTTGGCGGTTGGGGGACCACTTTATCAAAAAAATGCTTTTCTCAGTAATCCAGCGCAGCGCTATTACAAATATAAACGATTTTTATAGCTGTCGAAAAGATTGAGCCTCCGAGCCCTCCCAGAGTGTAAATACACCAAGGAGAATAAATCCCCAAGGGAGGACCCGGATTGCCACCTCATTCTTCCGGCCCTGTCTGCACTCATTATCAGTTATGCGCGTTCGGTGTTCAGTGGTAGTAATAAAGTGCATTTGCTAAAGACCTGCAAAGGATTAAGAGAACATGTTTATTAGAACAGTGACGGAATATAATCGGGCACATGAGAAAAGGTGTCTGAGGAGAAATACAAGTGTCGAAGGCCAGGCGGGCCAAGTTTGGTAAGGGTGTCGAAAGGTTGCATTCGCCAGAGGTTTACTGTGCTCCGGATAGTGGTAAAACCACGTCCCCGGCTCACAGCACTCTCACCAAGCCGTGCCGAAGCAACGACTGGCCGCAACACCCTTTCGGGATAGCGGGGGAATATGCAAGCATAAACCCAGAGAGCGCCGGGAGGGCGCTCACACAGCCCGCTACCGTATAGGTCATCGCGGCGGGACCCTTGGCAGGTTGCCAACCCCTATTATCCCAGGTAATTCATCCTCGAAACTCCTAGGAGATGAAATCTCGTAGGAAAGTTTCGACACTCCCGGCCCGCGCAAGAGCCAGAAAGTGCCGCCCCCGGTGAAGGGAGCAAGGAACCTTACAAGGGGAGGTTGAGTGGGAGCCTCGCGGCGGCCCAAGAATTTACAAACAAGTCCGCCCGGCCCGGGGGGAAAGGTTGGGGTACAGAGGGACCAATAACATGGTAGAAAATGTTCTGCACTGTGGGGGCGGGAGGACGAAAATGGGTTAGATAAACGCTAGGGGAGGGGCAGCTGACAATACAATAGTTGGTCGGCGCTAAGGAGCCCGTACTCCTGCCGAACCAACTCGGGAAAGGGGAGAGGGATGACTTATCGGATTTTCGGCAGCGGCTGGCGTGTAGTGGACTTGAGGCAAGCTGGCGGTCGAGAAGAGGCTTGTGGCACTTCGCGTCGATGTCGTCTTGCGAAGTGTTGTCGAGCTGGTACTCTTGCATCTCGAGCAGCCGGCCAGGTGAAGTTGTAGGCGAGCATGGCGAAGGTTCCGAAGAACCTTGAGAGGGTGTCGAGTGGTGGTGGGGAGGAATCCTCTCACGAAACCTCCTTGTCACCAGGTAATGTCGTAATGCAGTAAGGCGGTGACGCGAACTTGAATAACGTCTCGGCTATGGCTAGGGGCACTAGCTGGCTTGTCGCAGTAGGGACGAAGGTTGACGCGTCGAATGATGGTCCTTTTGAAAACGTCGAAGTCGCAGTTGGGGATTCGCGTCAGAGCGGCAGCATGGACTTGTCGCTGGCACTTTGATGGGGCGGTGGCTTTGAACTTGTCGCAAGCAGTCGGACGAACTGGTGGACTTGTCGATTGAACGGCTCGCGGCGGCCCAAGTAGTGGTCCATCAACCGCAGAATGGCGTGTAGCTTCGCAGGTGGCTCATGCAGTCGTGCAGGAGTGTCGGCTTCATCAAGTAGCGACTCATCTCGCAGCAGGCGAGAAGCCAAAGAAGCAACGAATGCGAACGGCACGGCTACCGCACTCCATCCACAAGGCGTTGTCCTGGAGCTTGAACGCTTGAAACGGCGACGTTTGAGTGAAGAGGCGTGATGGAGCTTCATGTCGAGTGGAGTCGTACTTGAGCGCTTGAGTGTTGAAGCCTTGCATCCGGCTGTTGGTGTCATGACGGAAGTGCTGGAGCTCGGCTGCTGTATTCGGGGCGGCAGCATACAGTTGTCGATGTCGCTGCGCTCAGGTCGAAAGCAGCAGCTGAAGTGATGAACTTGGCACTTGAAGTAGTCCGCAGTCCATGTAGTATTCCATCAGCTTAGTGGAAGAAAAGCAGTGCGGGAACAATCTATGTCGACCGAGTTGTCGCACTTGGCGCGGGCAGCTTGAAGAAATCCTGATACTTGTCGATCCAAATGCTCGCGGCGGCCCAATTTCTGTGAGTGGATACGCCGGAAGTCGATGAAGTAGAAGAGGTAGTAATGACCGCAGCGAATGTCGTCGCCGTAGTCGTACTTGACGAGGAGGCGGCAAGAATCATGCTGAACTGGCTGGTTGAGCTTGGCTCTTCCTTCAACTGTAGGCGAGGCGAAGTTGTGGAGGCAAGTCGGGCTTGTAGACGGGGTGAAGAGACGAGTTGCTCAAAGGCGAGACCAGCTCCGTGTTGCAACGCGGGCCAGCTGTCTCGAAATCACCGTCTCACAAGCCGCTTGATTGTAGAAGTTGTCCTTGGGATCAGCACCTCGAGGCTGAGCAAAGTCTGGCGCGAAAGCAGGAGAATTGCGGAGCGTGAAGTCGTGTTGTCGCAGTGACGCCGCTCAGATGACATGATATCGGCGGAGCATGTGTCGCGACCGCAGCCGAATGGCGCAGTGGCACTTGGGATGAGATGTTGTCGGCGCGCCATGAAGCTCGGTGTCGGCGCGGTATGAAGGGCGGCAGCAGAATGTCGTAGTGGCGCCGCTGGAATGAGCTGTAGCTGGTGTAGCTTGTAGACGGCAGCGACGGATGTATTCTTGTACCACATCATAGCGCAGCTTGCCGTAGTGTACGTTGGGACGATTCGCTTGAACGTTGTAGCGTGAAGCATCTTGTCGCGATCTTGTTGTGGAGCAAACGCAGCGAGTTGACTGTCGTAGATGACGCGGGAGGCTTGTGAGGTCGCGATAACTGGCAGGCTTGCCAGGTGTCGCACGCTTCACACGAGTGTCTCTTTCTTCAGCACGATGTCCCGCAGCAACAAAACTGAGCATATTTTTAGGTAAAGAAAACCTGAGTGATCGAGCAGCAATCGGTGGCATAAGACTCGACTCGATGATGTTGAGGAGTGGACCGTGCCGCTGAAGCTGTTGGCGAAACTTGGATTGTTGTCGGGAACCGGCGGTCATAGAGACAGTCGGCGCAGGAGGTGTTGACCTTGTCATCATCCTGAAGCGAAGTCGACCATAGCGGCATTGTTTGGCGGCCGCAGGTGTAGAAGAAAGCGGTGTTGTGTCCGCATTGTTGCACAGCGCGTCGCAGCTTTTTCCAAGGAAGATCTGGAAAAAAAAGAATTATCCCGGTGGCGTCAAGCAAGTTTTTTGCTGACGATCTTCGCGTGGAGTGGTACGGGTGGCGCCGACCAATTGGTAGACGCGGAGTTGACGATGACGCTAGCCAGTATTGGTGGTGAAGTTGCTGTCGAGCTCGATGTCGTATCGCAGCTTGAGGCGTGGATGTTGTCGACGCATTTCAGCAGTAGTCGGCGAGCGAGCAAGTCAGGCGGTGATGAAGTTGATCAGGCACAAGGAGCATGTGTCGATCGCACTTCCGCGAAGCGTTTGTCAACCAGCTACCGATGTCTTGTCCCGCCGAAGAAAATGTAGTCGCCTCCGATAGCGTCAGCAAAGGCTTGAAGTGTCGCTACGCTCTGGCTTGCTCTCGCATTCGGCTTATCTGAGAAAAAGGGAACCAAATAAACCTCTGGAAAGAGCGGTGTCTGGCCAAAAGCGAAGCGGAAACATATGCTTGCGGCTGCCCGTAGATCGGAAGCTTGATCGAGGACTCGTCGGCGTAGCTGACCGTAGCTTGAAGTCCAAACATCGTAGCGGCTTGACGAACGTGGCACTTGTAAGTCCCATCCAAACAGAAAGTGTCGCGAAATTGTTGGCTTGCGCCAACAACCCTTGACAGCAGTCTGATCGAGGCACCAAGCGATGTCCCTGGTGTTGAACTGCTTGCAGAATTGTCGAGGAATGAAGCATCTCGTACGGCAGGAGAAACAGGTGGAAGTTGTCACAGGCATCAGACGATCCTTGATGTGGCAAGCGCACTTGCAGAGAACATCGAATGTCCGATTTCGGTGTCGTAAGTCTTGGAATGGCGCAGACGATTGTGCAGGCACAAGTCTCAAAAGCATGCATCGCAGCCTTCGAAGATTGCTGTCGCCTTGTCCGGGTCTTGATGACTTAAACGGTGATCATGTCGATGGCGGCAGCTGGAAAGAAAGTGACTCTCGCAGCGTTGGCCTTAGTTGCCGGTGTCGATGCCAGCGTTTGCGGGCATTCGCATGGCTCATCGACGGGCAGGCGGAAAGGTGGCAGCAAATGTCACGAAGAACGAATGTCGCTAGCACTGATGGCTCAAGCCTTGCCTTGATAGTTGACCAGCAAGTGTCGATGATGTCGTTACAGCGATCGCGTAGATTCAGTCTGCATTCGGCGGCGCTTCTTGAAAGGTGAGGGCGGCGGAAAGAAAATACAGCTGCAGCAACCACAGCACGTTGGCGATCAGCGTTCGTTGTGGCTGTCCAGCTTGTCCTTGTGGGTGAATTCGGCAGATTCGGCAGAACACTCCAGTATTGGCCCATCTCGCAGAGGTCGAGCAGCCAAAAACTACCCGTGTGAACGGCACGGCGACCGCACTCCATCCACAAAACGGGAGATTCCGGAGCTTGAGACTGCGAGAGGGCCGAGCTTGATTGATGAAGCTTGTAGGAGCGTCTTGTCGAAGGTCGGTGAAGGACGGGAGGCAGCATGATGTCGATGGAACCAGCGCCAGCTTGTTGTCGGAATGCGGAAGCGGCTCGAAATGTATGAGGCAAAGCCCTGTACATTTTCTCTGTCCGATTGCGGCTGCCTGAAGAAGATGTTGAAGGCGACGCGGTGCGGAGAACGAGAGATCCGCTTGACGTTGTCCCCGAAGAGGCTTGATGTTGTCGGTTGAGCATCAGCAGTGTGAGGTGCCGGGCGATGCTAGTAGTGGCCTACAGGAATGCTGGCATCCGGTAAAGGAGGCTGTAGCATGATGGTGTCTCAGAAGCCCATCCTTGTCCGGAAACAGTGGCGCAGCGCGGCAAGAGACGAGTTCTTCCGTGTGAACGTGTTGTTGTTCCGTATGTGTGTCGCACATCTCAAGTCAGCGCCTCCAACTTGATGGAGGTGAGGGGCGATTGTCGCTGTTGAAGTTCGGCTTGTTGCGGGGCGTAGACGGTTATACATGTGCTCGTTGACGTATTGGACACGATTGTGCAGCAGATGTTGCATTGAGAAGAAGTAGATGTCGCGCCGATACGTCGTGGACATCCGCATTCACAACAAAGAGCAGGCGGCGAAGTCGAGAAAGGTCGGATGCCGATGTTGTTGTAGCGCCATCGGTTAGTTGTCGTCTTCCGCTTGAGTTCCAGGAACTCGGGTGGAGTGTCGGAGTCAGCGTGTGGTTCCATGAAAAGTACAGGGGTGTCTCTCTTCTTCGGCTCAGGAGTCGGAGGATGCAGCGCGTAAGTCTCGCTGCCATATGGCAGGATGACCTCCTTGCCCTCGTACTTCGGCTCGTAGAGGTCCTGAATAAGAGATCGTAAAGGTGTGTCTCTCTTCTTCGGCTCAGGTCGGAGTATGCAGCATGTAAGTCTGTCTGCCATGCAGCAGTATGACCTCCTTGCCCTCGTACTCCGGGTCGTTGAGCTCCTGAATGAGAGATCGTCTGCCCTGGTTGGATCCGCTGATGACTGTTCCGAACTTGTAAAAAGTCGACGATTCGTCCCGAAAGGCTCGCGGAATGACGGAGAAGTGACGTCGCGAAGCTCTGACAGTAAACCTTGATGCGCATCTGGCACTGGACCTGTAGAAGTAAGCAATGTTGGCGGCGGTGTCGATTGCCAGGTGAACGTCGTGGAAGGTGACGACCATGTAGATGATGACGTTGTCGAACAGCAAATTGTGGTGTAGAGCGCCGCTGCTTATCCGGAGTCGCCAAAGGTAGACGCGTGAAGGGGCAAAGTTGCTCGGCATGTCGCTGTCCCTGCGCCAGCTTGAGTGTCGCCTGACTAATCTCCATTGCCATGTGTCAGATGTCGCAAATGGCAACCTTGGAGCACCGTGGTGAGTAGCAGTAGCAGACACGGCGTTGTCGAACATGGCAGCAGAGGCTTGCAGTTGGCGTAGCCAGGCGGATGTTGTCTGCGTAGCTGGGCGAGTAGGCGAGCAGCATGGTGAGCGAAGAACGGCGTGAAGCAGTCTCGTTGTCGGGCAGTGTGAAGGCGAACGACGAACATCATCCGCGAGTGGTAGATAGTTGGCGAACAGGATGAAGAACTTCTGCCTGCGGTGTAGTTGTGCCATTTGATGAGCGCAGATAGAACGGTGCATCACATCAGCCATGCCGGTCGATAGATGACGAGTAGACGGCCATCCGGCAGCAAGTGTCTCCCGGAAACAAATGTCACATCACCACCGTGTGTCTAAAAACTGCTATACAAAGTAGAGATAAACTCTAAGTTGTACAACAAGCGAAGCGGGAAAACAAAAGTGAAAAGCCAAATCAAAACTTTGAGAAAACAATAAGAAACATTTGAAAAAACGAATGACAATACCCGAAAATTAGTCGAAGTTCGCGAACGTAGAAGTTTTTTCGGGTAAGCAAACGAAATTTCAAAAATTTCGAATCATCTTGGCCAACCTTAGCGACGAATCGTAGGTGGCGCTCTCAAAATTTCAAAAAGAACTTTACTTTTGCACATCCGTTTCGATTCATCGAAGTAGAATGTGCGGTAGTAGATGCTTGGCATGTCCATCGAGCATTGAGCGAAGGGCAACATCTTGAGCAGCAACCTTCTTCCATAGAGCAGCTCCCTGGACCATCAGTAGTCGTGGAACACGCGGCAGGGCTGCTTGATGTCGAGCGGAGGTAGACCAGTCGTTGCACGGTATGAAGCCGAGTGTCGGGCGGCATCAAGCCAAGTGTCGAGCGGCCAAAAAGCCAAGTGTCGCTTGGCGTAAAGCCGGGTGTCGGGTTTGAAAAAACTAAGGAAGATAAACTTCCAAAGTTATTCAAGGTGTCGCACAAAAAGGAAAGTGAATCAACGCGTGTGCAAAATAAGTATATGTACAGCAGAGGAAGACGCGGATAGAAATCGTGAAGCAATTCGGCGAAAGGTAGAAAGAAAGATGGGTTTGTGCGCTTCAGGCGGCCGAAGCTTCGTTTCTTGCCATCGTTTGTAGTCGAGTAGTCGCAGTCTTGATCAGCTTCTTGTGCAGCACGGGTTGTCGTTGAACGCGCGTCGCCATCGATGAGACCTTGTCGAAGCGCAGGAAGAGCTTGCGAAAAAGTGTCGAGCACCGAGGCAACGTGTGTCGATTTCTTCTTTGCAACGCCCGATGTCGTGAGAAAAGTCAGCGCCTAACTGCAAATTGATTGGCCAGTAAAAATTGCAACACCAACAGCTTTCTCAAGGCCGTGGGGCAATATCACCTCGAAAAAATTGTCGTATTTGATGAGAAGTTGTTGCACATCAATCAGCGGAAGTGTTGAAGCATCGGCAAAAGTGTAGAGTGAGCGCATATGTAGATCGGCCAGTGTTTCGAGCACGAAAACAGCTATCTCAAGGCTGTTGTTGTCGAAAACACCTCGTAGAGGGTGTCGAGTGTCGAAAAAAACTTGTGTCGAACGGCAAAAAGCCTTGAGCAGAGCTTGGTGTCGATTTGAAGCTTGTAGGCTTGTAGTCGACCGAAGTTGCCTTGATGGAAGCGCCCATGTTGTCTTCGACCATTTCGCACACTGATCACGCCATGTCGCCCGCATCCTTCTTGGGTAGATTGGGGCCAAAACGTTGTCGAGGCATGGTGAAGAGCGCCTCACAGCACGTGGAGCGAGGCCTTCCCATTCTCTAGAGCACCGCAACCGCCAGCGATGACCATTGGGCACGATTTGAAACTCTTTTCGCCCTGGAAAAGACAAAAGTAAAACCAAATAAACCTTTTAAAATGCATCCGATTGCTCCACTCGCTTTTTCTTCTAGTTTCGCAACGGCTGGACGACATTAACTTCCATCATTCCTTGGAGAAACTTCAGCTATTGCGTCTCACCCCTCCCGATTTTCTCGGGCAGCATCGCATCCATAGCTTCCATCAGTCCATATCCTGATTTTCTCTGAAAAACTGGCTCAAGGAGCCGAGAAATTCACTAACACGGCAGGCAACCAAACGAATGTTAGGTTGTTGCCCAAAGCTTACCACAAACTTACTAAACTTCATCAAAGCGACCAGATTCCATAAAGCTTGAATGCTCAGCAGAGGGCCCCAACGAGAAGGAAGGTGTCCGCGTACGACAGACCAAATGTCAGTGTCCATCCATCGCAAAACACTGCTGGCCGGCAGTGGTGTCGAAGAAAAAACAAGTGTCGCGGGGTATATATCCGTATGTCGAGGTTGAGCAGGTCAACGGCAAAAGGCAAATGACGAGTGGCCCGGTGATCACTACGGCTCGACTGCACCATGTCGAAAAGATTGAGCCTCCGAGCCCTCCCAGAGTGTAAATACACCAAGGAGAATAAATCCCCAAGGGAGGACCCGGATTGCCACCTCATTCTTCCGGCCCTGTCTGCACTCATTATCAGTTATGCGCGTTCGGTGTTCAGTGGTAGTAATAAAGTGCATTTGCTAAAGACCTGCAAAGGATTAAGAGAACATGTTTATTAGAACAGTGACGGAATATAATCGGGCACATGAGAAAAGGTGTCTGAGGAGAAATACAAGTGTCGAAGGCCAGGCGGGCCAAGTTTGGTAAGGGTGTCGAAAGGTTGCATTCGCCAGAGGTTTACTGTGCTCCGGATAGTGGTAAAACCACGTCCCCGGCTCACAGCACTCTCACCAAGCCGTGCCGAAGCAACGACTGGCCGCAACACCCTTTCGGGATAGCGGGGGAATATGCAAGCATAAACCCAGAGAGCGCCGGGAGGGCGCTCACACAGCCCGCTACCGTATAGGTCATCGCGGCGGGACCCTTGGCAGGTTGCCAACCCCTATTATCCCAGGTAATTCATCCTCGAAACTCCTAGGAGATGAAATCTCGTAGGAAAGTTTCGACAATAGCGTTTTACATAGGTTTTAGATATAAAAAACCCATAAAGATTATAAAAATTAAGCGATTTTTAAAGTTTTAAACAAAAGCAATGAAAAACCATTAAAACAATTTAGAATCATTATATTTGATATTAACAACTAGACGAGGAAAAATAAAACTTACCCCCCCCCCCCGCTAACAACCTAGTACCGATTTTTCTTAGTTTTACCAAATTGAATTTTTGCAAAATTCACGCAAATTGGCAGAGGGATTGTACCGGTTTTTAAGCAACATGCATTCATAGATTTGGAAACACTTATTTCAAAAAATTTTTTGTATTTTTGATTTGAGCTCCTACATTGCACTAATTTGACCAATTTCGTTGTTCGTTTTTCGGTTTCATTTTTTGCAATATTTTTCCGGGATAATTGATACCTTTGTGGACTGTTTACAGCAATTCGTGCCTCCCTCAATGGCGTGCTGGACGATCGCGTTTCCGACGCATTCCGCCGCGCCCTCGTCGCGGAATTCGCCTGGAAATTCGGGTTTATGTTTTATAAACCCCGGCCAATTAGATTTCAAATTAAACAATAATGCGTGAAAACTCTCCCCGACGATTACGATTTTATAAAAATTTCGACACAGTGTTTTCAAAAAAATGGGTTTCAGAAAATTGCCTTGCCCGACAATTGAGGATGTGTATATTATGCCGTTCGAATGCTTTTCAAAACCTATTTATCGCCCTGTCGTTAAAAATCTATCTAGGCTCATTTAGAAGCCCTTATTTTCAGCCCTGTGTTATTCTCAGAAATGTGTTTCAGAGCATATTGTCGCACCAACGATTAAAAGGCTATCAATTTGTCGGCATAATAGATTGGAATAAAATCACGGAGGTTGACCAATATTTTTGAAAATTAAAGTAATGCGCGATTTCGCGAATGCCATTCGATGGAGCGTCAAAAATATATTAATGATATTATATTCAGCCCGAAACAATGTAATATAAAAGTTTTAAAGCGTAAAAACTTTGGTTGAACACTAAACACACTAAGAGGTTTTATAGCCCGGAAAACAGCATTTAAAAAAGCTTTTTCTTGTCTAAAACTTTGTATTTGCCCGTTATTTTTTTCAATACGTTATCCTACGGGCACTATTTATTTAGTACGTGGTTTGAGGCATAATAAGAACATGTTGCAAGAAGTTTAGCCTATGATTAAAATTTTTTTTTGAGAATTGACGGGCCTGTCGGTGTGGTAAACGGTTAACGATATGTATATGTCAAAGTATTAATTGTATTTGTATTTAAGGAGTATCACCCAGAAGATATCGAATTTTCTAGGAAGCCAATTCCTGTTTCACAAAATGTGTTTCAAAAAATTTCCTTTTCCGAATTTCACCAAAGCGTGAATTTTTTCGTGAAATCACAACAAAATATATTTAAATAATTTCGGCCTTGGTTTGAGATATTTTCGAAAAGTCAAAAATAAATGAGAAATTCCACAAAATTTTATCCACACCCCCCGCCCCTGCTAAAGCAAAAGCCCCGAATTTTCAAAAAAAAAGATGTGTCAGCAGATTTCCGACTGAATTGGCTGCAGTGTGTATTCGTAAGGAAATTTCAGGATATTTTTAGAAAACTTTTGAATTTTCGAAATTTTGTCTCGTAATGCCGTAAAATGGAGTGTAACATACTTGCCACCAGCTGCTCCAACTCGGCAACATTATTCGGGATATGCAAGGCACGGAGCGCGTCGGCCGCCTCGCCAATTTCTTTCGGGCCCATTATCTGGAAAGCAAATAATGGTAAGGAGGTTTAAAATGAAAATATTCTTGAGATCACACATACTAATAGATCAATTTCACCTGTTAATTACATTAAACACAGCATTTTGTATGCAAGAATTCGAAAAACGAGATGGATTTGCCCCAATCAATTGATTTCTTCGAATTTTCCGCGTAAACATTTTGGTTTGAAACTCATTATTTGAAAAATTCTTGGCGCTGTCTCTCCCTCTCTCGCTCTCTCTCTCTCGCTCTCTCTCTCGCTCTCTCTTTCGCTCTCTTTCTCGCTCTCTCTCTCGCTCTCTCTCTCTGTCTCTCTCACCTTTCTCGGCTTCTCCTTCGGCTGCGCGGGTCGATGTTGTTGTTGCCGGGGGCGGGGAGCTTTTTCGGCTAGATTTTTTGTTAAATTTGTTACTTATTTGATTTATTAATTCTCTAGCTAACATAATTTCTAAAGCTATATCAATATTATAATTTATAAAGATTCTTACAAACTACTTACTTACTTACTTACCTGGCTTTTGTTTCTCCACTTCATGATGACTGCCCGCGCCGGAGGACTTCTAAAAAGAAATTTAAAGATTTCAAAAATCTGTTTCAGTAAAATACATCAAAAATTGGGGAAAATTTTATTTAATAGGAGCAGTGGGTAAAGCAATCTCTAAGAATTTTGAAAATCACAAATTGAGCTTTCGAACTGCGTTTTTCTAATCACGGATTTTCAAAAAAATAAACGTTTTAGAAAGTGGCAATTTCAGAATTTTGCATTCTCGGACCCTTGAATTTTCGATATTAAGGATTATCTGAATTTCGTTTTTTTTTTAGTTACAATCTAAATTTACAAAAAAAAATACCTGAGAAACGGCACTCTCAGTCGACAGACTGCTTTCGGTTCTGTTCAGCCGCTCCTCGGTTTTTGCGCGCGGCGGCGATTTTCGGTGGTTGTTGTTTTCTGGAAACATTTGATTTTTAGTACGAAACGAAACCAATTTGTGTCGAATATATATTCGCCAAAATTTTGATAGGGACCAGGTTTCGAAACATTTTTTTGTTAATTCTTCGCGTTTCACGCGGGAAGCTAATTTTTATTTTTTCGCATATATACGTTTCCGCACTTTAATAATAGATACCATATTTTATGGTTTTAGTAGTTTGATGTCTAGGAAGTCATAAAGATATCCAAATATGTTTGAAAAAGCAATTAATAAACTTTCTTTGCTAATTTTCATACATTTTGACCCAAAAGGAAAAATTTGAGTAAATTTGTTAATTTTTCATTTGCTCTTTTATAGCTAAAAAAGGTAAAATGCTATAAAAATTGTTTAAATGCTGCTATACGGCCGTAGGGAATTAGGGGGGAGAAAATTGGTCCTCACGTTAAACGGGCAGCTCCTGGTTTGCAAAGTAACCAGGATAAAATAGATAATACATCGAAGATCAGTCCAAATTAATTTAAAATCAATTTAATAATCATTTACTATTTTTGTGTAAGTTATTAATTTAATTCTGGATTTTGCGATACACCATGCAATGTTTTAAGACGAAACACTTTTTTGAAAAGCTGTTTTTCGCACGGAGTTTGGCAATTCGTTGTCGCGGAAGTCGATTTGCGTTAAATAATTAATTTTAATGGTTTAAATAATTCAGAATTAAACTTTGAACAGGATTTTTCAAATGCCTTGATAAATTAAAAGAAGCAAATTCATTAAATGACCTAATAAATGACCAACTGAAGTTACCTTCAGGCCTGGTGGGCCTTGTCGTCGACGGCTTTTGCCCGGCCGTCTCTCCGGGATTTCCTCGTTGCATCTAAAAGTTTTTCTTTTTTTTAGTCTAGTTTTTGCATAGGTTGTTTTTATATCTAATTTTAAAAAAACGGAAAAATTAAAAAGATTTTTCTAAGATTTTTGTTGTAAAAATATTCTTCTTTAATTACAATTTCAAAAATGTATAATTTTCTCGAAATAAGAAAGAAAAACTCAATAAGATATGTTCTTTTAGAAAACAGGCATATGCGCCAGCACGCGCGGCCCCCCCACTAACGCCGAAGCTCCCGAATTTTCAAAAATATGTTTCAGGCTATTTGGGTTGAATTTGTTGCACTGTGTATTAATTGCTGAACATTAATGGATCCTTTTAAAGGGATAGCAACAGGGAAATTTAGCGTTGGGAATTCGTACTAAAGGAATGGGCATGGCTGGCTGGTTTAATGTCGAAAATCTCAATTACGGCATCCATAATGTCGAATTTCAGAATTTTGATATCCTATCTCGAATTTTTTTGCATAGAATTTGGTGTTTTTCCGGGCGCTTCGCTAAGTAAATTTCTATATTCGGAAAGATCGGAATTTTCATCGAGGTGGGAATTTTCGACATTTAGAAGCGGCATCATTATGAAATAGCGACGGAACATCTTTCTGCTCGCGGCAATTGACGCCAGAGGCCAGCACAGCATTTTGAACAAAATGTTTTACCGAATTTGTGCTTGAATTTGCCACAGTGTGTATTAATTTCGGATGCCAATTGACTCCTTTTAAAAGATGGCACCAGCGAAATTTAGGGTTGAGGATGATTAAAGGGATGGGCAAGGATTGCTATTAAAATTTCGAAAATCATGAATTCGAAATTCGCAAAGGCGAAGATCATACAGTCGACATTTCAGAATGTCGAAAAACATATGTCGAAATTTCCGAATGCCGAATCAGTTTGTTGAAGTTTTTTTGCATAGGATTTGGACTTTTTTGGCCGCTTTGCTTCTGTAACTTTCAACCTTATGAAATGTCGACATTATGAACTTTATTGAAATTTCGACCTTGTAGAATTTCGATAGTATCAAATTTCGAAATTCCATTTTTTCCACATTTAGAAGTAGCATCGTTATGGATTCTATTTCATATGTATTTTCGCGCGCCACTTTTCAACGCATAAAGGATTCCGGCTTATACACCGGTCGCTCGGCGTGCGCGTTGCATGTCGCGGCGCTACAAGTTTCCAACTCACCAAATCGACGTCGCCATTCTCGGGCGGAGAATCGGACGGCGGCGACGAAGCGCCTCCCGAACGAAGGCCTGCAAAATAGAATCAAATAAATTAAGCAATTTAATTGAAAGATAAAAATATATTGAAACATTTAACTATTTAAATGATTAAATTGAGAAATTAAAGTCAAACTAAAATTTAAATCTAAATGATTTATGAAATGGGTGCGAAAAATTTAAATGAAGTCTGAAACCGGTCAGATTAAACGATCTAGTAGATTTCATTCTTTTAATTTGTATCGAAACACATTTTTTAACCTAATAATTATAACAATATTTTTGATACACGGATGCTTTATTTTACACACTTATTTTCGTGTATATATTTTTAATGCACCCACCGGGAGGGCGGTAAATTTGCATGGCGGGTCGGGTGGCGAGCTTCTTGGCGGCGTTTAGCTTCTGAAAGACAAATGCTATTAAAATACGGCAAAAATCGACGAAACGCAACACTAATAAACTATGTAATGAATTAACTAATTGTTAATTGCTAAAACGAATTTATTGCTGGCCAGAAAATGCCTGACAGCAATGACAAGTATGAAACATTTTTTCACCAGACCGTGTTTTATCATTTTTAGGATTGAATGGTACATGTGAAATTAAGATAAAACATATTATTCTTCAGTTCCTAGACCGAATGCAAAATAGTATTAATCCAAAAATGGTATGCTTCCCCTGGCCCGTAAATGGAAAAATAAAAATAAAAATTGATTAGGTTAAATTAGTGTTTCATTGGCCATTCGGATTTTCTCAGTTTTGCCATAAATATTTTCGATTGAATAATTTTGAGCTGTCATTCAAACTGTGCGTTTATTTTTTTACGTTCTATCGAATGGGGTCCAAATAAATTTTGTAAAAAAATCAAAACCCGTGGAGAACCAGATTTTTAGTCCAATTTTCCAAGATTAGCCTTGTTTTTACTACAACTATTTGATTTTACATTATTTTGCGCTTTAATGAAAGCCGTTGGTATATTTTTCGATACTTTATCAAAAGATGTCTGCAAAAACCCGAAAAAAAACAGTGAAAATATCGATAACTTTGCGACCCTCTGGCTGGGGGAGGGGGTAAAGTAAACCACGAACACAATATTACGAATTATTATGGAAACTCAGTTTTTTACTGGGAACAACTATGAAACATTGAATGGGCTAAATAAGTATTACAATACAGAATGGGACTGCAGAAATCAGCGATCAAATAAATTCATGGCCACGTGCTGGTAATCGAAATGAAAATAAAAACAAGGCTAAAAATTACCAAGTAAGTCCTTCGAATCTGGGATGGAAATGATGGCAAAGGCTTTACTTTTATAAATCGAGAGTCCTAGGCCACAGGCCCGGGCCCGGAAATGCAAAAAAAATAAAAATAAAAATTTATAAAGTAAAATTAGCGTTTCACAGGCCTTCCGGATTTTGCTTTTTTACTTAACTGTTGTATGTCGCTTGATTTTGAGCCGTAATAAAAACTTTTCGACGATTTAGATGTCGAAAAAACTAAATTTTCAACCGTATTTCCGAAGGTTACGCTTGTTTTTGTTAGAATAATTTTATATTACGATAATGTTAACTGGAATTAAAACTCCAAATAGAGTTTTTATTGCTCTATCTAATGGCGTCAAAAATCCCGAAAACTAGCCAGAATATCGACATTAAAGTAAACTGGGGGTGAAGTAATCCGTTGCGCCAAAAATCTATGTTTCAAATACAAATCGATTTGGAGATTGTATAAAGTTTATGCTTATACTATAAACCAATTATTTTGCGAGATCGTTGGAAGAATATGAGAAAGGTGTAATGTAATGGATATATGGCTGGTATGGAAATCGTAGTATGTTTCTGTGCGCATAGATATTTATTTACCCGTTGTGGTGTTTGATCGCGGAATCGGCGCTATGCTAACATTATCTCCATCACGCATCCCAGAAATCAAAGCAAGTTCCGCCCCAACCCCTTGAGTGCCCGAGATTTTGGCCCGATGCCAAATTCGAATAAATAAAGGCGGAAACCATGATTTTAAAGGTTTCATATAGCCAAAATTCTACCATACCTATCAATAAATCACCTTTATATAAACCGCGGAAAATAAGGTTTTTGGTCGAGGTGCGAATTCTCCAAAATTATATTTTTTTCGAAAAGGCATTTTTCTGAAACATGGTTTTTAACCATTGCTTCACCAATTCTTTTAAGAGATTTCTTGACCACGGGCTATCATTTTTCATGTAATTCTCCAAATGAAAATTCGAATAAATAAAGGCGGAAACCAGGGCTATGACGGTTTTATATAGCCAAATTTTACCATAGCTATCAATATATCAAATTTATATAAACGGTGCAAAATCGAATCACCTGACCATTGGGTAGTAACATAAAAAGCCGCATTGCTTGCAAAGGCATTTTTGTGAAACATTGTTTTTGTAACCGTTTTCAAAAATTCACTTGGCGATTCCATGACCAAGAGATATCATTTTTCGTGTAATGCTAAAAATTGAAAAGGCTTTCCGGAATAAAATCACACAAATATATGAGACTAAAACTTCAATTAAAGTTAAAATTTTGGCACGTAAAAACTTAATGTTTCGCATTTTTACCAGATTGGTGACAGATAAAGTGGAAATAGTACGATGCAGCACCCAACTCCAAAATTTGGCTAATCAAGCTCACGTTGTTTTAAGCAAGACTTTAACTGTGTTTATTTTTTATTGGTTTCTTGTCGAGCGGAATAAAGCGTTGCTAAAGAGAAGAGCGGTTTCTTATATTGTAAAGAATTAAAGCATGTTTTAAAACTATTTTATTGCTACTTAAAGTTTAAAAAATTGGAAATTTTAAAAATTATGGAGAAGCTATTGTAATTTAGATTCCTCACACGCCGCGTTGCGTTTGTGAAACATCGAAAAATTCCGGGGAGGTTATGCTCCAATCTAAGCAGAAAGAAATTGCAACCAAAATTCCTGCTCAAAAATGACAAATAAACCTGAATTTAGATAAAAATATAAAGTAATACAAATAACATATAATATAAATTTAAAAAGTCAACTGTAAAAGCCCACTGTAAAAATCGATAAAAATCGGCCCACCTTTTGCTCGTCGGAGCCGACGATCGGGTTCTCGTTCTCCATGCTTGCTCCCGCCTGAAAAAAACCCGCATTTGTTTTCAACTGGTTTTTGACCGGTTTTAAAACCCGAATTTTGTAACAAAATTTCTAATTTCGATAATTTCTAGTTTCACACTTATTGTGTTTTTGACGATGTTTTAAAGTCAGTCATGTATTTGCAGTTTGTCTCACTAATCAAACGGGCCTGGATATGGAGCAGTAAGAGATACTGAAACCTTAAAAAACGTAAAGATCTAAAAAACTATACTAAAAAATTGCAATTTGAATATTAGAATGATTTCTGGAAGCACAAATTGAGAAAAATCCGAAAAATCGAGAAACTGTGAAAAAATGTTTCGAGTCTAGGTAAAGACTTCTGGGCATTTTTATCGATAATGCTTCTTAAGGTGATGTTCTCCATTCTTTTCAAGCTGGCCTTTTTGGTAATTTTAAACTTTCTCTGATAAAAAAGAGCAAAATCTGTAAAAAATAATGGTGGAGATTGCTAAAGTATGGTGATCCCATAGAAATCAATAACACTTTTTTAAAAATTGCCGGTACCGATTTGGTGCAAAAAATATGTTTCAAACCACACTAAAAAAGCAAAAAAATTTTAGCAACCAGTATATTGCATCATGTGTTCTTTAATTTCAAACTTGCATTTCTTTAAATAGCTTTAGCATGCGTTGATACTTATCTATTTGCTTTCTAAAACTCATAAAGTGTTTAGCTTTAAAAGCTTTAAAAAATGTGTTTCAAACATTACTGGAATCTTGAAAAAATTCGTGGTGCAAAAACACCATTGCATTTGTAACAAGTAAAAAAAGACTAATTGTAAGACCGGCATATTTTTTATCTAATCCTTTGCTGTGTAAAATTAATAAAACTAATCTAAAACCTCGTAGCAAAAAGGTAAAAATATGGAACGTGTTTGCATGCGTGAAATATAGAACTGAAAAGCGGGAACGCGTTCCTATCTTTGGAAAAGCCGTCAAGAGGAACCGGGCGGAAATCCACCAAAAAAAGGGCACTGCTGGCACACTTTCTCAATTTCTCAATAGTCCTCGGGAAAAGCTGAGCGCGAATATAGCTGTTGTCAATTTTCGTGATAAAAAGCCATAAAACCTCTCAAAAAAATTAATTTTGCTTTAAAAACCTCACAATGTTTAAATTTTCAGCAACCAGCAGGCCGAATCAGAAATAAAAATTTCTGGTACTCTCCCTGTAACTGCGGTGTAATTTTGTGCTTCCGCTTACACCTTGCTGTTAATAATCAATAATCTATGTTTCTAGGGTCTTTAATAACGCTTGTTCGCCAAAAAGTCATAAAATGATTTTTAATTGTTTGAAAATTACAAAAATTTGTACCTTTTTGCTCATTTTCATTTTGTCGAAATTTGAACCTGCTGAAAAATTAATTTTGAGATGAATAATCTAGGCGAAAAAGCCATCGAACGAAACTTCGACAATGGAATTTCGACAAAACGAAACCCGGCAAAGTTAAAATGTCCAAAAAAAATTAAACGAAAGGTGTTTCGAAAAGTGAAATATTTCGACAAAACGATTTTCGACAAACTGTTAGCAAATAAATAAATCCCCCTGTAATTTATGATAGAGTCAAACGCAAACAGCTTTTTTAAGTTCACCAAAACAAATGAATATGAAATTAGAAGATAAAAAGCTTGAGGGATCCTAAGCTTTTCAGAAACACATCTCATAATTTTCTAATTACGTGTAATAAAACTGTCCTCCTTGCAAAAATCAGAATAACCCTGGTGATGAACAAATTAGACTTTGTCGATCTGGTCCCGAGTCAATATTTTTTTTGAAACATGCCTTTCAAAAAGGATTATCGATGTTCCCAAAATCGGTCTTCCTGTTTAGTCCCTATTAGCGATTATAAATAAATGCAAACCATTATTATAACGTTTTACGCATCAGCCATTAATAACTATTAAAAACATTATAAAAATACACTATCTATTATAAACAGGTATAATAGGCGGAAATTAAAATCCCCCCGTTTAACGAAAAGTACCGAACTTTTTAAGCTTTTACGCAACTTGAAAAACTGAACGAATTGGAAAAAATTGCTGACCTGTATAACGTGGGATATCAGATACTTGTCGGCAATCAGGGTACGGTAATTGTAGTGAGGGGCACTTTCTAGCGATTCTAGAAAGTGTCGTTTCGAGGTGTCGAATGAACGCCGACGAGCCGCCACGCGCCGCTGATCTGCAAAATATTCATGGGGTGGAGGGCGCGGGGGGATTATACAAATTTCGAGCGGCGATAGAGAGAAAAAACCAAAGAGAGAGAGAGAGAGAGAGAGAGAGAGAGAGAGAGAGAAAGTGAGAGATGCCTAACGCAAGAATATCGATCTTATTAAAATGGCGGCAATTGTCAATTCGATACCTCAACGGGGATGTCGTGAAAGTCCAACTTTTCAGATAATCTTAGACAAATCTCAAAGGGATAAAAATGATATTTCAATTATGCGAAAAGTGTGTTTAAAGATGTGTTATTTAAGGCCGTGTTTTTTCGCGTTTAATAGAGATGACTGTAGATACCGATTTAAAATAAAAATTAATGGATCAATTGTTATAAAATTAAAAGTTTTAAATTTGATGAATTAAAATAATTGATAAATGCTATAAAAATTAATTCAAGCGCTATCGGCGGTGTGGCTTTTCTTGATTCTGTTTGTTTGGTGGATGTTTGAATCGATGTTTCATCAAATTTACAGAGCCAGAAAAATCGGCGGAACGCATTATGAGTTTACTTGGGTGGACGCGTGCATGCGCCGCATAAGCGTGACTGGCCACGCTCTTCGGGAGCGTGGTGACCCACGCTTATGCGGCGCTTTATGCGTGCTTTTTCACGCGCGCAGTTTAACTCCAGATGCAAATCAGGAATTCAAAGGACATCCATTTACGATTTCGATCTGCTAAAATGGATTATCGATACAGAACGATCAAGTTCATCTTTGAACTTACAGAAATAAACATTATAGGTAGTGATTCAACTTTTTGTTACTTAACTTCTCGAAAACGTATCGATTTTTGCGTTCATGTGCTTTGGAAAACTTTGATTTTGCGTCTTTGAAGACTTCGCATAAGTGTTTCCGGAGCGTCGCGAACCACGCTCATTTCGGCGTGGTTTATTAAGAGGCACGCGCGCCAGCGTGGCTACTCACGCTTATGCGGCGCATGCAAGCGTCGACCCATGTATAATTATGAGTGCACTCGATCCAAACAGAAATCCAATACACACTCAACATTTTAAAAAATATCAATAATGCCGGCTTTGAGAAAACAAGTTTTTCAAAATTCCCGGCTAGCTCCATTTTTTATCTAGGCAATAGATTGGACCCTGTTACATTAAAATTCCGTTTTTCGAAACTTTGGATCACTTTTTCGCGGCAATTACTGGCATGTTATCAGTAAAGCCCTAGTAAATACAACATACAAAATTACTTTCAGAAGGAATTAAATTGAACAACGAAATTCTCATAGAATTATAAAATTAACATGTTAGTAAAAAATGTGTTTCATAAATATTTTCGGTTTTCGGAGCTTTTGCGCTAGTAATCGTGTGAATGATATATCCTTTTAAAGCCATTTTGGAACAAATGTATGATTCAACCTTAAAGTTTAAATTGCACGATTTTTAGACCAAGGTTTCGTTGAATTTACTGGTTCAAAAAATTTGTAAAACACACTGTCAAGCGCGCCCCATCCAAACAGCAATCGACTGATAAAACACTTAGCTGATAAAAAATATGAGTAAACCGGTTTTGGAAAAACAGGTTTCACAAAATTGTCCTGTATATCCATATTTTAAGTGGCTAATTGGATTTGCGTGAAAGATAAAAAAGTCCGATTTTTCCGGGACTTCGGATCAACATTTTTTACATTACCGGCATGTTATTAGCAGAGCCCAACAAAAGTTAAAAAAGACACAAAATTACCGTGAAAAAAAGAATAAATTCAAGAACGAAAATCGGGAAAATCAAAGAAGCATTTAAAAACATTTTTTCCAAAAAAAGTGTTACCTAAAATCGGTAGGGTTTCGAGGCTTTTTCGCAAGTAATAAAGCTTGAGTGAATGGTATTATAGCAATTTTGGAAGCGCTGAATTTTTAAGCTATGGGTCTAATATACACGATGTTTATCAATGTTTCATTAAATCTACGGAGTCTAAATATTTCTTAGGAAGCAATGGTAGAGCGCTATCCTACCTTATATAATTTTGGCGTGTAACTGTGTGTGTGTGTGTGGATGTCACTTTCGAGGCCCGATTTGAGGGCCTTACTCTGATTCTTCGTCACGCTCTGATTCTTCGTCACTTACAAGGGAAGGGCACATGCACAGGTTGGAATTTCGAAAAACGCTCGCGGCTACCCCGGGGTAATCGACTACGGAGAACACGATGCTGTCGTCCGATTTTCCTGCCGAGGCTTGTGGACAGAGATACGGCACTTCCGGAAAATCATGATTTGCATGCGAAAAATTAGAATCCGGGGAAGCTTTATTAGGCTCTCCCATCAGTATGCAATCACCGGTCGAGTGGCCGATTGGTAAGCAACTCGCTTGGTAGGATACTGACGAGGGTACGGATCCGCTCGTGATTTTTTCGTTTTGCTTTTTGACAAAATTTTTTGCACAAGTCCAGAACCTTTCCTAAATGTGTAAAAGACGCCTTTGTGGCCTGTAATACGTCTAGCAATCAAAGAAAAACTTTCACCCCATCCATCCACCGGCTTTCAAATTCAAAAAAACTGGAAAAATTTTATAAAAGCGCTGTCTAACCAACTTGCCAGGGCCGTGCAACAGGATAAGGTGCTACAGAACCAAACGAGAGCGTGACGCTTGGCTTCTGCAAAAATTTTCCCGCAGAATTTTTGATCGTTCGGCAGCCGATGATAGGTGGAGGGTCGGAAAATAGAATTTTCGAAAAAGTTTTTCTTTGATTGCTAGACGTATTACAGGCCACAAAGGCGTTTTTTTTACACATTTAGGAAAGGTTCTGGACTTGTGCAAAAAATTTTGTCAAAAAGCAAAACGAAAAAATCACGAGCGGATCCGTACCCTCGTCAGTATCCTACCAAGCGAGTTGCTTACCAATCGGCCACTCGACCGGTGATTGCATACTGATGGGAGAGCCTAAGAAAGCTTCCCCGGATTCTAATTTTTCGCATGCAAATCATGATTTTCCGGAAGTGCCGTATCTCTGTCCACAAGCCTCGGCAGGAAAATCGGACGACAGCATCGTGTTCTCCGTAGTCGATTACCCCGGGGTAGCCGCGAGCGTTTTTCGAAATTCCAACCTGTGCATGTGCCCTTCCCTTGTTAGGGGAATCGACCCTTCTGTTTCCGCTGGCGTTCTCAGAATTTCGATAAAATACAAGTTTACAAAGTTAAAGCCGGTTTTATTCATTTTTGGGGGTAACTGAGGGCTAATTTGCCTAACGCGAAAAAATACAAATTTCCTCATTCTTGCCAGTTGCACTTGCGCGTGTGGTCGGGGGGTGCAGAAAGTCAAGCCCGAGCTATCAGAAAGTCAAACTTTTCATGCAAAGGCCGCATTCCAGCGCCCGAGGCCCGCGAAGCGGGTTTTGGGCGCTGGTTCGTTCAATAACTATTTTCGCATCCCAAAAACATTCAATCAAGTTTTGGAAAAATCTGTTTCTCAAAATCGAAAGGTGGTTCCGAGTTTTTACAGAGATAATGATTTCCGGGCAGTGTTTTTGCGACAATCACTGGCAAAAAATTAACGAGATTTCTTTGAAGCCCAGCGAATCAAGAAAATCCAGTTTTAGAATGATTTTCCGTTTAGAGAAGCAAAGATACGAAAGCAAATTAAAAACATAGCTAGAAAAACCGTAGTCTGGCTGCAATCTGCTTTATAGTTTTCAGAATTACAAAGGCAATATTATCTAGGCTTCAATGGGTATTTTAAGTTCGAAAAAAGTTACAAAACCCACTTGTCATAATTACTACAAACGGGAGGGAAATTTAGTGGTGGCCCAAGAGGGGGGAAGGGCAAGTGAGGGAGTGCCCAATTGCACATTACAACAAGAACGGAGAGGAGAGAGAGAGAGAGAGAGAGAGAGAGAGAGACAGGGAGAGAGGGAGAGAGGGAGAGAGAGGGAGAAGAGAGAAATCTATGCCCGCAAGCTACACACCCGCCACCCGACTACCTGGTCCCATCAGGGCCCAGCTGATTTTGTAGCAAAAATAGGTGTTTCTCAAAAAATGTTATCAAGATCAACTTCGACGCAGTAATCTGATGTGTTTGGAGATGCCTCAAAAGACGGTACGTCTAAAATATTACTTCTTAAAGACTTCTTCTACGACGTATTATAAAGTCATTGTGGGTGCTTTTGCAATATCGGGGGGGGGGAGCAAGGGGGTTTTTAACATTTTGTTTTCAGCTTTTCTAATATAAATCAAGGCAGCGTTTCTAGGGACCTTTGGCTATTTTAAAGCGTTATTGCGTTATATAAACTTTCCAAATTTTTAGCAAAAAATGCAAAAATATAGATTTTCGACAAAGATTTCAAGGTTCTAATTTTTACGAAATTTTTCTAAATGGTTTTCCAGTGCAAGCAGAATTAAATTTTATTAAGAAGTAAAAAAATGCAGGTTTTACCGTAACCCTCTATAATTTAGCTAAATTTAAACTGCTGATCAAACCACCCGGGTTGCCGATTAATTGCTCATGATATTTTTCCCAGCAATAACATAAATAAAACATCTTTTTGGAAACGCGAAGTGAAATGCGCAGCCTGAATTCTTTGGCAAAATTATGGTGCACCTGGAAAAGGGGAAAAGCAGCCGGTGATCCGAAGCCTATTTGGTAACAAAAAAAATCGCAAAAACTGATCGTGGTTAGAAAACTGTGTTTCATCACAGTCAGGTCTTCGGGATAATTCGAGTAATTTTAATATATAGCGCAGACGACTCCAACTAAATTCATGCGATCTGATCATTTAATCTAATAGAAATATCTGATAGCAAAATTTAAATTGATAGCTAATTCGGTTTAAATTGAAAAGTTCTTTTCCATCATCGTGGGGGGGCAATCCTCTAATATACTTATTAGTTCTTTAAATACACAAAATATCGATGCTCGACCAAAAATTGCGGATTGCGACCAAAATTTCACGCGAAGCTTTCACAAAGTTTTTGCTCAATTGTTCCACTTCAAAATTTAGCTAGATTTTACTAAAAAAGTCACGTAGTGCAGTATTTTAGCCCAGAATTTGTGTAATTAGCTAATTTTGAGACTTCTGCGCTAATGCCCGGATTGACCAATTATCGCAACGCCTTTCAAATATATCATACAGATAAATGAAACATATTTTTTGTACCGAAATGCAAAAGATGATATGTTGAACACGGAAAAGGTCACGCCACGGTCATCCTCTCAATGCTCTTGAATGTGGAAAACTGTAGTTTTTATTAATTGCTCCTGCTATTTTTTTCCATCAATAACATCAATAAAACATCTTTTGGGTACCGAAAATTGAAGTGCGCAACCTGAACTTCGACAAAATTATGGCGCACTCGGCCAAGGGGAAAAGCCGCTGGTGATCCGAAGCCTATTTCGTTACAAAAAATCGCAAACTGGTCGAGGTTAGAAAACTGTGCTTCATCAAAATAAGGTAGTCGGGATAATTAGAGTAACATTAGTATGTAATAAATTCGTTTTCAACAAAATTCATCCTATCTGATCGTCTAATTTAATAGAAATAAATGATAGCAACATTTCAAATTATAACGAATTCGGATCAAATGTAAAAAGTTTTTTTTGTCTTATCGGGGGGCGGGATTTTTCCTAGTATTCAATTTCTTTAATATAATAGTAAAAGCGTCATAAAACTTTTGGGACCAGAAAAATGCTTACCCCCAAAAAATCGACTTTGACATGTTTAGGAAGTTTTTTAATTGTTTTTCCGGCCTATAAGGGTGAAATTTTATTAAAAACCTGAGAAATGAAACATTTTAAACTAAAATGTGTGTAATTGAGGGAAATTCCAGCTTTATAATTGTCCACTAATTATCGTAATACCTTTTTAAATCAATAGGTCAAATAGATCAAACATAATTTTTGTGCCGACAGGCAAAAGATGATATGTTGAGAAGGGAAAATTCACGGTTTTTCATCGTTTCATCGGTCAATGCTCTTGAATGTTTAAACCAAGCACAAGCTAAGCCAAAAAAGATCGCAAAACTGATCGCGGTTAGAAAACTGTGTTTCATCACAGTAAGGTAGT